GGTCTGGGAGAGGATGTAATTCCAACACTAACACCAGAGCCACACACAAACAAGCTAACATCAGCAGCATAAGGGACGCTGGCGAACATTAGAACATTTAACAACTAAATCACTGATCTTTCCATGCAATCTACACCGTGTTAGACCGATACTGACAATCAATCTTCATCAATCAATCCTTCCCTCTGCCTATGCTTAGAACGACCGTGTAAGAGACAGCCTTCCTCAAGCTACGGTGATTCGGCAGGATACACCATCCTTATATTGAATGTTCAAAAGAGCGGGATGGCTTTGCAGCCTCCAGCATCCTACGTACTGATTGATGAAGATTAAGCCACCCAAAAGGTGGCACGGGCATGAATAGCCCGTAAGTGGTGGCCCTTTTGAGCCATTACCAGTATCAAGAGCTGATACTGGAGATCTGTGGAGGTGCGACTGCACCCTGCGTGACGGGAGATGTCTCCCGTGTACTGCGTACTGTATAGTACGTAGTATATAGTAACAAATGTGTACACACAGTGTTGAGCTGGGAGACGAGGAGTCACAGTAACGTGGCTGAAGGTATGATGATCACACTACACGTCAGATGAGGGGGAGACGAAGACGTTTCGGTCCGCTCTGGACGTTTCGGTCCGTCCTGGACGTTTCGGTCACGTTGTGTGTTATGGCATTACCTGATATTAACGTATTTCGCTAGATAATTAGAGAAGTATTTTATTTTGTGTAACTTACGTCTAAAGCAGCGTTCAGGCAGGCATTTCAATATTTAATTTTCCTGAAAATATATAAATAAACAATTATTATAAGCCGTTTTTGTGAGGGCTGTGTGAGTGAGTGAGTGAGTGAGTGAGTGAGTGAGTGAGTGAGTGTGGGGGGGGGGGAGAGGGGGCGGGGCGGGCTGTGAGGTACCAACTCCGACATTTGTGAACAAATTACCTTAAAATAAACACATGAGCCGCACAAAGCGAGAAGAGCTTCCCAGAAACTCTTACACAGAGCTTCACACAACGTAACAGAGGTGTCATGATCGGAAATTGCCTTGCAGTTGCTAAGCAAAATTTGACCAAGAGCAAACCACTAATTTCTTGCCGAGTGACTTCCTTATGTTGCACAAATGCTTACAGGCGCATAGACGCGCGCGCGCGCACACTCTCTCTCCAGCCTGGTCTTTCTCTGTCTATCTGTCTCTCTTCCCCACTTGGGCTGGACGGTACAGCGACGGTCTCCCCTTCATGCAGGTCGGCGTTCAATCCCCGACCATCCAAGTAGTTGGGCACCATTCCTTTCCCCCGTCCTATCACCAAATCCTTATCCTAACCCGTTCCCAGTGCTATATAGTCGTAATGGCTTGGCGCTTTCCCATGGTAATTCCCTTCCCCTTCTACAATATTATTCAATAAGAGCAAGTGTCGATATGCCTTTATAATATATATTAAATACACATTACTATAACTAATGATATACACATTATATAATCAATATATCAAATATTATTGACGAATAAACAGACAAGAATAGTTCCCCCTTTCGAGTCTGCTCCATCGGTTTTCTCTGGCAGGGACGGGTGAGTAATCTCTCCTGTTTAGCAATACATCGCATTTTGACGTCAAAATCTTCAACTGATAAAATATGTATTATAAATGACAGTAGCTAGCGAAAGTTCACGTTTTCTCTGCGCGAGTCGTAAGTTAAGTTTGGCTGGGTTTGTGCATTTTACTGCATTATTTTTGTAATCATATGGCAACTCTTAGAGGAGAAGGGCGGGAGGGGGGGTGGGGCGAGTTTAAGTTACGTGTTTTATGGTACTACGACTTAAATTTGAATAGCAGGAAATTTGTTAATTTTTCCCGGGATCAGTGAATAATGGTGTACATTTATACAAAACAAATTTCCATTCGGTATCCAAAGTTGGGCGAAGATGGCCCCCCAAGCATTTAGCCTCGAACTTTGGACAGACAGATATTCCTTAGTGATAGTGATCCTGGTAATTTACAATCCCCTAACAAACAGCAGAAGACCCAGTCAGAAATACGATGACAACAGCAAAGCAATGCAGCAACAGCAGCACACAGAATATGAGCTAAATTACTAGTCATGGGGGACCTAAATCATGGAGAGATCGATTGGGAATCAAGTAATTCTCATGGTGGTGAAGAAACGTGGGGAGCAAAATTTATGGAAGTTATGGACTTCTTGATATGTAAAGGATGACAAGAGAAAGGGAAGGAGATACACCAAGCATACTGGACCTAATCTTCACTCGGAATGAGAAAAAATCGAGAATTTGGATCATGAAATACTACTAGGAGCCAGTTATCACTGTGTTCTATTCTTTGATTATATGATCGAACTGAAAACTGACAAGGGGTCAGGGAGAGTTGACAATAGGAAGAGATACAGAATCAGCCATCTGTATAGTCAAATGATAAAGAATTACAAGAGGATTCGAGAGGACTTACAAAATGTACAGTGAGAGGACGAACTTGAGGAAAGAGAGTACGGGAGATAATGGATTAAGTCAAATGGAAGTGCAAAGAGGATGAGTATTTCAGGGACGGGAGGAAACCACAAAGGTCAAAAGGACAGAAACTAACGTTACTGGGATGATCAGACAAAGTATCACCGAGGATGTTAAAAGCAGCAGCACAGACCCTCAGCGTGCCTCTAATGATCATTAATGAGTAACTTCCTTTGTAAGAATTGTTCAGGTTCTTGAAGGCAAATGTGGCACCAATTATCAAGAAAGGAGAGAGAGAAGAGGCACTTAACTACAAACCAGTATATCCCTGGAAAGTACTCTAAAAAATAATCAGGATAAGCATTAGGTATGTAAACAAACATCAACATGGCTTTATGGAAGGAAAATCGTGTCTGACGAACCTACTGGAGTGCTGTGATGAAGTAACTAAAATAAGACAGGAAAGAAGGTTAGGCAGAATGCGTTACTGGACTGTCAAGATACAGTACCTCACAAGAGATTAAATACATAAACTCGAGAGACAGGCGGATGTAAGCGGAAAGGCGCTAACAAGGGTAAAGAGTTACCTAACAGACGTGTCAGAGAGTAACAGTGAGGAGAGAGAAGTCGGATTAGACAACCGGCGGCTAGAAAAGATCGTGCATTACTAAGAGGTCATACATGATTCTGCAGGCACAAACAGAAGAGTATAAATTGATGAGTACACACACGCATACACTGACCAACACTGACACACCCACACACCCACAAGGCCACAGTGATCAACATGGGAGCTCCCAGCACTCGCGTGAGTCAAGGGACAGTAGGAAGAATGTGTACCAGGCAGCCAGAGGGGGCCCCTGCTAATGTGGTACTGGAGGTCAACACTACACACGGGTGGAGCTCAACCACCCCCGTCGAGGCAAGCACACATCACAGGGGAGGTTACTGACGTCTCACAGGAGCTCAACAAACAACAGCCAAGACGCCAGGGTTATGTGATGGACATTAAAGTCAGTGCAAGGAGCCTGGGAGTATAGACAGAGCTGGTCACACACACACAGCTGCTCAGTCCAGGCACAAGTACGTGAGTGAGCACAGCTGCACAATATCTGTTACAAGCGGAACACCTGTCCTTGGTGGCATCATGTGACGCCCTGCTCCCCCACACATCCTGCCTCCACCCCCCCCCCCCACCCACCCCAGGCTCTCACACCTCACCTCACCTCTCTCTCACTCAGATACAGACGTGCACCCAGGCACACTTACCAGGTGAGATACAGAATACTTTAACATGTTGAAAATATGAATTAAACAAAGATTTGTTTCTTGTTTTTTGTCGATTTGTTTTTACCTAGTGAGCGGAGGTGGCGCTCTAGCTTGGAGCTCTGCATTCAATTTACTGGTTAGTTTTTGATTAGTACGTTTTTGTCTCTGGAGTAATTTCTACGTTGTGATCATTTACCCTCTTTTTTTTTGGGTGGGGGGGGGGGTGTGCTCCAGCAGCGTCGTGTTCTCTTTCATCGTGGTTCTTGCCCATCAACTTCTGTTCATATCTGTAGGTGTGTTTACCAATAAACCTGTCAACTGTTTATAGGTTCTCTAATTCTGTAGTTCCCTTTACGTTCGTGTTTGGATAATAATTCCACCACTGTTTCTTCGTGCTCGAGAATTGGTGAGACATGATCCTTATCCCGAAAGTAGTACCCAAATGAAGAAATCCACAAGGGCCGTGACGAGGATTCGAACCTGCGTCCGAGAGCATCCCAGACGCTGCCTTAATCGATGGGTCTGCGATACTCTCGGACGCAGGTTCAAATCCTCGTCACGGCCCTTGTGGATTTGTTCATTTGATGCATCACGCAATTGTGATTTCTGTATGTAGTACCCAAATGTTTGCGGAACGAGTGTAGGTAAAAGCTATGTCCGGTGTGTGCGTCTCGGGGATGAGACGTCCCCCCCCCCCCCAGGTAATATGTTGCCTCCTATCCCCCCTACTCTTAGTTTCATTACTTTACACTTGCTGGGGTTGAACTCTAATATCCATTTGAAGGACGATCATTTATGTAGCCTTTAAATTTCCGTGGTTTACTTCGGTCATCATATATTCGTATTTGCACCATCTCTGCTGGTACGTCATTCATCAATGACAGCATTGATAAATGACGTACCATTTATCAATGTCTCGTGTGGAACACTGCACCAGCATACTGCGGGGCATTGTTTTCTTAAGTACTTCACACATTTCATTATCAATATCCGTGTGAGTGCTTATTCTCCGGCCAAGTAATTTCTACGCTGTGATCATTCACCCTTTTTTTTAGGGGGGGGGGGGGGGGGGGATAACAGTGAACCTGATCGTTCACAGACATTTTCCTCTTGATGTGGCTGCGCATTAGTTCTTTAGTTCTGTATTCTTCTATTGTCTCTATTTCTCTATACTTACATGTGTGTTTCCTTTCCCTGTTTCAATTACTTCGATTCTCCTCTGATCTGCTGTCCGTGCACCTCTCTCCAGTTCCTCTTGCTTCATCCATGCATCATGGAGCAAGACCTTGTTACACTAAAGTTTGTTGTCCTTGGCTCCCTTGTCACCCTTGGCGTGGAAATGTATCTTTCATTACCTTCCGAGTTTTGATGGGCCATTTGGCGGCCTTGCACAGAACTGTCCCTGAGTTCTGTCTCCAACAATACTCCTCCACAAATTATTTTGTTCTGGCATACTCGCTTTTTCTGTATTCTGGTTTTCTGTCATTCTCTCCACACACTTTTGGTTTTATTCTTCATTTAGTACTCTAATACTAGTACACGGTGATCACAGTACACGGTGATCACAGTACACGGTGATCACAGTACACGGTGATCACAGTACACGGTGATCACAGTACACGGTGATCACTGGCTACTAGTGGTGTTTCCTGGTCTGGTGTTTCAGTGTCCGTCCCTTCGTGGGTGAAGGCGAGGTCTGTCTGGTCTGCTTGGTCAGCCCTTTGTTCTTGCTGGGGTTTTCCTTTTTGACTTCTTGTGCCCTGTGCCCAGATGCTCGCTATTGTGGTGTTGACCAACCTTGCTAACTTGCATAGGACCCCTTTATGGGTTTCTCGCCTCCATGATTGAAAATTGTTGGACCATGATTGAAATTGTTGGACGCTTTATATATCTAATAAAATGAAAAGGCTACAGCTCTTTTATACTGCATTTCTTCCCTCTGACTAGCAAGCTACAAGCAAACCGAATTAAATAAATTATTAGAAATTGTGTTCTTGTTTTTAACAGTAGTTGTTGCAGCCTCCTGCTGGTGCAGACGGTTATGACAGCTGCTGTGTTGGTCTGTTCATATCCTTGTCTAGGTGTTGTGGTGCTCGCTGCTGAGTTGTGCACAATTGCATCACAACTCTACCCTCCACCTCCTCTTATGATTCATGTGACAGTCTGTATGTACGTAACGTGTATGTAGGTAACGTGTATGTAGGTAACGTGTATGTACGTAACGTGTATGTACGTAACGTGTATGTACGTAACGTGTATGTAGGTAACGTGTATGTAGGTAACGTGAATGTAGGTAACGTGTATGTACGTAACGTGTATGTAGGTAACGTGAATGTAGGTAACGTGTATGTACGTAACGTGTATGTACGTAACGTGTATGTGTGCTTACCACTGTGTCAAGAGTTGATTTATGCGTCTGTATGAACTCATTGTTCTGTGTTGATCCCCATCGCTCATTCCACTCCAGAGTCCATGACAGTAAACAACTCGTAGTGTAATAAGGGGAGAGAAGAATGACTGCGTAACTGCGCAGGTCTCTCACTCGAAGGTCGGCCCAATTCTCTACACAACTTTTATTCATGATTTAGAAAGGAATGGCCTCAAAATACCAAAATATGTTGATGACGCAGAGGCGAGGGAGAGCGGCCCTGGAGGACGATTCCACTGTTATTCACGACAAGTACCGAGAGGGACACCAGCGAGCTTACACAGGGGACCATGCTAATTAAGGACTTTCACTGCAGTAGAGTCCCCCAAAGTCAATCGGGAATTCCAGGTTCGTATCTCGGCCCGGGTTGAAATTGTTTCGAGCGTTTTCTATCACGTAATGTTTAGGTACCGATAGGTTATAGTCAGCTTGTTTGGGGTTGCTTCCTGGGCAGGGTCAGTAGTTCGACCTTGTGAGGGAGGGGAAGAGACCTCGACACAAGTCTAACAAGTATATATACATTGGCTGCCTGTCCCCCGACGCAATGAATTATAATATTATTCAAACTGATGCAATTTATTAACAGAAATATTAGACATGAACACAAGGCAATTGGGGAAGGCTGCCACCCGCCACACCCTCAGCTGCGGCCACCCGCAACACCTACAGCTGCGGCCGCCCGCCACACCCACAGCTGCGGCCGCCCGCCACACCCACAGCTGCGGCCGCCCGCCACACCCACAGCTGCGGCCGCCCGCCACACCCACAGCTGCGGCCGCCCGCCACACCCACAGCTGCGGCCGCCCGCCACACCCACAGCTGCGGCCGCCCGCCACACCCACAGCTGCGGCCGCCCGCCACACCCACAGCTGCGGCCGCCCGCCACACCCACAGCTGCGGCCGCCCGCCACACCCACAGCTGCGGCCGCCCGCCACACCCACAGCTGCGGCCGCCCGCCACACCCACAGCTGCGGCCGCCCGCCACACCCACAGCTGCGGCCGCCCGCCACACCCACAGCTGCGGCCGCCCGCCACACCCACAGCTGCGGCCGCCCGCCACACCCACAGCTGCGGCCGCCCGCCACACCCACAGCTGCGGCCGCCCGCCACACCCACAGCTGCGGCCGCCCGCCACACCCACAGCTGCGGCCGCCCGCCACACCCACAGCTGCGGCCGCCCGCCACACCCACAGCTGCGGCCGCCCGCCACACCCACAGCTGCGGCCGCCCGCCACACCCACAGCTGCGGCCGCCCGCCACACCCACAGCTGCGGCCGCCCGCCACACCCACAGCTGCGGCCGCCCGCCACACCCACAGCTACACGCTGGCAACACCTACAGCTACGCGCTGGTTGACTTTTCGGTTAAGACCAGTTTTTGTTTGTCCTCTTCGTTACTAGGGGCTAACTTGGCACAGAACTCTAATTACGGCCTTTAACAGTGCGTAGAATACGAGGGGGAACTAACACCCGCCTTCATTATCTGTGGAATTCTTGGAGAAACTCTAATCTAAAATTACTGGAAGACGGAAAATAATGCAATACAGTTTTAAAGAGAACAGATGCAAGTCAGCTGGTGGGAGAAACTAAACAATATTCTTGCCAACAGGTATATGATCCTATGAGTATTTAGTTTCATAATATATTAATACTTTAAAGTTATCGAGCATCATTATATACATGTTATTCACAGAGACGAGGCTGTAGCATACAAAAAAAAAAGATTCTTAAGAAGGGAATTGTGTTCCTCCAGTGAATTCTTAGGCTATGATCGATGAAGATTTTTTTGGAGTGAATGTGATCATTGGTCGTGAAGTGTTAGGCTATGTCGTCTGCCTGGAATTTATAACAGCATAAAACCCCCAGCTGTCATTCAATTCTCTATTCCTATATGCATCTTTGTAAAAGTTACATCTATGCCACAAGAGTACCCAGTCCACAAATAAATCAGCGTCAACACATTAAAGCATCAAGAAAATCTAAATGTATACAAATTAACTTGTCCTAACACACACCAATCAAAATTTGAAACGCAAAACAAATGTGTCAAAATCTGTTGTATTTGACGAAATTGGAGGAGAGAAAATGGCACATCAACACTTCAGGGAGGCAGCAAATGTGCCCTGAATCAGCCAGATAGCCTGACACCCGTATTAAGTAAAAAGCAAAACAAAAGATAAATGAATGACCAAACCACACATCAGAAAATGGAGAAACGTCGACGTTTCGGTCCGTACTGAACCATTATCAACTCTTGCGATGTCGAACGACGAAACGTCGTCGTTTCTCCATCTTCTGATGTGTGGTTTACCGGAATTCACCCGAGAGCCACTAACACTAGTGGCCTCGGCGAGGACAGCGGCTTGTCGAAGGTCCCCCCCCCCCATTTGCTTTGATGGTCTTTTCCAGCTGTACTTTAAAACCCAACAGTGTTTTTACTATTAACGACTTCGGCGGGTAGGCAGTTCCATGGGTTAATAACCCTGTGGATGAAAAAAACATGTTCTCAGTCCTACAGTGTAACTTGTTGAGCTCCTAACCGTTGCTCCTTGTTTGTGTTACACCTGACGTTTTTAAGACAATTTCTGGATCAACTTCCTTCAATTTGTTCAGTATTTTAAACGTTTCAGTAAGATCCCAAAGTCCTTTTCCTCGTCAATCTGCTGTAATGTAATGTTATTAATTTGGTAGTTGTGGCGCGGGTTGTTGTGCGCCACATGCGGGGTCTTGCATTTGTCAATATTAAAACTCTTCACCCACGTTATTGTGACTTATCGTCTGCAGAAGGTAAAGAGTATTTCGAGAGAAGATTATTTAGCATATGGAGGCAACACCAAAGAACCATGAGTACAGTCCATTGTAAAAACCCTGCTCTGCAAGCTACATATATTTAAAGAAAAAAGCCGTCAATACCTCATGAACCCTGGATCACTGACTAACCTATAAGAGACTTCAAGTAACCCTGAATGACTGAGCGGTAATGGACTGGTCCAAGGACGAGTCCTTGGACCAGTCATCTTTATAATACACATAATAAACCTTGGAACGGAACCTTATACAAAAACATTAATATTCCATTATAGCACGATATTAGAAAATACTTTTTTTTAGCCAGTTTATAACTCCGTCAACGGAGGTAGTAAATATAAATTAATACTTATGATGACTACAGGCAGGAGCATCACAGAGTCAAAGGAAGAACCTCGCAATGGTCGGCAGTCACATCAAATAAAGCCTAGCACATGGGGTCGGCAGCCAGATGATGTTGCTGGCCAAGGGGTGAGGCCACACCACCACACAAATGGCCACACTATTAATGTAACAGGACATTATCGCTAGATAATGGACTTATTTCAGGACGTATGACATTCAAGGTCAAATGCACAAAACATGATTTTTGGTCACCTACACAATGTACTTTAGGAACTGTAATGTTATTAAAGTTCAATTACAAACATACCCAACATGCATTTCTCTTCCACTATGTAAAAATACTCCTGATGGAGGTACCGCCCTTAACCCCTCCCCCCAAGAGACCAGCACCTGGTGGAGGTACCGCCCTCCCCAGTCCCAGTAATATTTGTACCCAAGCCTGAGCCGCATGTACACAGAGTCACTCCAAGCATTTCTCCTTTTACCATAAGTGAAATGGGTGTTTTGACTCACATACATGTAGTGTTGCATGGTTTGACTACTCTCATACATTATCTCTCTCCTCTCCACTCCCGCCTGTGCCTGAATATTTCTGATTTTGCTTCTTATTTGTCTCATTGTGAATTCACATTCGATGTCAACTTGTGGTTTTGATGTGGCACGTTTGGCCAAGTCATCCGCCACCTCGTTGAGCACTATTCCAACATGAGATGGAATCCACATGAATTTCACACTATAACCTTTCAGCTGTATCTCAGTTATTCTTCTCTTACAGTCCTCCACTATAGACATGAAGACTGGGTTTCTACTGTTTAAGGACTCCAGTGCTCCTCGGCTATCGACAAATACAAAAACATTTTTGTCGTCATGACGTACTTCCTCCAAACACGCCAGAATGGCCTGCAGTTCAGCTTGTGTGGATGATATATAATTACTAAGCCGGAGTTCAATTATCCTGTCCACAGTCCCAAACTCCGTATAATCCCTTATTAGGACACCACACCCTGCCCTGCCATCCTCCGCCACCGACCCGTCGCAATATACATGTAAACTGTTGCCTCTTGGTAACCGAGATATCATGCTTCCATACAAACACCGTAATTGTCCCGGTTCATGATGAATCTTTTTCACCTTGAGGGGTACAATTTCGACGTCTATTTTCTGTACTTTCCAGGGAGCAGACATATTACACTTTCGAGAGGGTTTACAGCAGTCAAGTACGTCGTATTCCCTGAGGTCATGAGCTAATCCTCTCGTATAGCGAGTCTCCCTCAGTTTCCTGGAAGTGTGTACGTCACTCAAGCAGGTCTGGACGCTCTCAAACAGCTTATCCCCTCCTTTTCTCCGCATGAAACGAATAGATACTCTAGTGTTAATGTCACGGACTCTATCACACACACTCTGTAAATTTAATTCCATTCTCATTATTTCAATCATTGCATTTCTTTGACATCCAAGAATAATCCTCATAGCCTCGTTCTGTATCAGCTCTATTTTTTGAATTCTGCCTTGGCCTGTGTAAGACAATACGGGTGCTGCGTAGTCTATCAGGGATCGAACAGTGCTTATGTATAACATCCGCAAGATAGGTACACCAACACCTTTACCAGAAAAAGCCAGTGCTTTTAGAGGATGCAGTCGGGCTTTACATAAGGTGCTGATATGATTTATTTCAGCATTTTTACTCTCACATGTGTATCCAACATACATGCCCAGATACTTGTACTTCTGTACACGGCTCAGTTCCACACCATTTAGAGTAAGTGTTATATTTCTTCGTTTCCTATACTCGTATTTGGTTTTATCTGCATTTATAACTAAGCCTAACTTGTGACAGGTTGTACCAAGTATGTGAAGAGCATCTTGAATTTTGTTCCCAGAAGTGCCTTGTATAAGAATGTCATCAGCATATATGATCGTCGTGACCCCTGGAGGATACATCTCTGATGCTAATCTGTTCATTAATACATTGAATAAGGTGGGACTTAATACTCCCCCTTGTGGGGTACCTAACTGAAACCTCCGTTCCTCAGACATGTATCCCTGGTAATACACCTGAGCTTTTCTGCCTTGCAGGTAATCCCTTATCCAGTGTAGCAATCTCCCTGTTATTCCCAGATTGGCTAATTCGTATAAGATTACTTCCCCATTGGCTTTATCAAACGCTCCTTGTAGATCAACAAAAACTCTACAATTGTCATCCACATTAGACAAACACTTTAAGAGACAATCCGCAGTACTTTTGCCTTTGATAAAACCAAAGAGATTATTGGACATGTTATCACCTACAAGGTAGAGTAGCCTATTTAACAAAATCCTTTCCATCATTTTACAAAAGCAGGATATTAAGGAGACAGGTCTGTAGCCTCCGTTTGACTTAGGGATAGGAATGATGACAGCCTCTTTCCATTTTCTTGGTAACTTTCCCTCTCTATAACTCATATTAAACAAATCAAGTAAGGGATTAGGTTTCATACCGGCTAAATAATTAAGTATGTCATACGTTACTCCATCTTTTCCCGGAGCAGTGGAGCTGCCACTTTTTATAGCATCCAGTAGCTCATCGTGGGTTATCTCAGTGCATGCTATAGATCTTGTATTTAAGGCACATAAAGTTACTCCATTTCTAATATTTTCCCATGACTCAATGGTGACTCTCGTGTCTGCAGGTAAGGACTCCATACCAGCAGCACTTGCCCATTTATCTACTAACTCATTAGCAACTTTCCCTGGATCTGAGTGAGCAATGAATTTAGTCTTACAACCCCTGACTTTATTTACTGCTCTCCATATGTCTTTAAGGTTCTTAGTATTACCAATGGCCTGAGCAAAGTCTTGCCAGTATCTGTCCCGCGCCTCCTTCCTCACCTGACTGCATTCCCTAGCCACTTCCAACATTGTATTTTTCTCTTCATCCCTCATTCCATTTTTTAACCATGCTTTATGCGCACCCCGTAGCATTCTCTCCCATCCCTTGACTTGCTGATCATTGGAATATTTAAATTTCTTAGGTCCGTGCGTCTTGCTTCCCCTGCCCCCGTTATTTTCCCTCTGTACTAATTTCTCTATGTTCTCGACCATGTCCTCGTAAAAACTATCAACGCAGAGCGGCGTGTAATGTTGATACCAATCTCCCATATTTTGAATAAAATAATTTTTCATATCTTTCTTAATATTTAGCCTTTTCCTTTGGAAGTGGACTTGTTTTTTCCCCAGTGGTAATTCAACGTTCAAGGCAAAGTGGTCACTAAGTAGTTCCCGAACAACCCGAGCCTCCCCCATAATCCCCTGAGAGTTTAAAACGCAGGCATAGTCAAGCCGTCCTCCCCTGATGTGAGTTGGTTCATTGTTTCCCAATAGACAGGTATCTGGATGATCTTGTAGAAACTGTAACCACTTGACCCCATTAGTATTAAGAGACCAGTGGAAGTATGCTAACTTCAACCATGCGTCTAGGATGCTAGAGATTGATCAACTAGCTTCAGTGGTACCCTATCTCGGTCCTCAGTGACAATTACAAACAAAAACAATTATTTGAAACAAAGTATTAAACGAGAAAAATTTACCAGAGGGCCGCTAACCCCAGTGGGACAGGAAGCCGGCGGCTTGTCGAAGGTAAATACCCCCCCCATAACTTATGAACCTAAAATATATGCTGTTTAAAGGTAAATATTAAAAGTGGAAATAAGGAGTACATATCTGTAGAAGGGGTTGTATAGCCGCTTGAAAAAGGATAATGTCGCTCCCCAGCCCGAAAGACAGCCTAGTCTTCGTCTCCAACAGTCACCTTGGATGTACGTGTCCGCCTTAAAGTTCTCCCAGTGTACTCACCTAGTTGTACTCGCCTAGTTGTGCTTGTGGGGGTTGAGCTCTGTTTCTTTGGTCCCGCCTCTCAACCGTCAATCAACTGGTGTACAGATTCCTGAGCCTACTGGGCTCTATCATACCTATATTTGAAACTGTGTATGGAGTCAGCCTCCACCACATCACTACCTAGTGCGTTCCATTTATTAACTACTCTGACACTGAAAAAATTCTTTCTAACGTCTCTGTGGCTCATCTGGGTACTAAGTTTCCACCTGTGTCCCCATGTTCGTGTTCCACCCGTGCTGAAGAGTTTTTCTTTGTCCATCCTGTCAATTCCCCCAAGAATTTTGTAGGTGGTTATCATGTCTCCCCTTACTCTTCTGTTTTCCGGGGACGTGAGGTTCAACTCCTTTAGCCTTTCCTCGTAGCTCATTCCTCTCAGTTCCGGGACGAGCCTATTAGCTTAGATTAGCTGTGTGTATGTGTCCCCTCTCTCTCTCTCTCCTTCCCCAGCTAACACAAGGAAAACAAACCACCAGGGTATGCAACACGAAGGAAAATTTAGATGATCCAATGCTAGAAAGATTACTCCAAGATGAGACGTCCCGCTCTCACAGCTGGTGGCCCAAGAGCTTGCAGCTACTGAATGGTAATTGGTAACCAAGCCCCATTACAATTCCCAAATGAAATACTGAATCAGAAACTGCCCCTTTTATGTATATATAAATACAAATTAAAAAAAAAAGATGAAATTAATCCTTAAACGGAACATTAAAACATCTACACAAACATGTGTGAATGTTATAGACATACATATACAATATATTGAAATACATGTGAAGAACCGTGGAAGAACCTCACACACACACACACACACACACACACACACACACACACACACACACACACACACACACACACACACACTCAGCTTCCTGACAAAAGAAAGCAAGCTTAGCTGCCAAAGTCACACACACAGGGGGTGGAAACCGAGTACCTAAATGAGCCACGGGAACGTTAGAAAGAACTTTCAGTGTCAGTAGTTACCAGATGGAATGCATTAGGCAGTGATGTGGTGGAGGCTGACTCCATACACAGTTTCAAATGTAGATATGATAGAGCCCAGTAGGCTTAGGAATCTGTGCACCAGTTGATTGACAGTCGAGAGGCGGAACCAAATAGCCAAAAGCTCAACCCCCGCAAGCACAACCAGGCGAGTTTACACACCCTGTCAGCAAGGTGTACCCCTGCTGTAACAACTATTTCCTATCCCATGTGCCTCTCCATTGTCTTTACTCAACCCCCCCCCCCCCACTCAAAAAAAAAGGGGGGGGGAATTAAAGTTTCCCACAAGGACAGGAGGCGGAAACATCCATTGTTGCCTGCTGTTGTCACATTATTTACAGGAAATTCCACTAGTTTGTCACTATGACTGTCATGACTGCGTCTGTTGATTTGTTTTATTTGTATAACCCATCTACTGACAATATATAGTTAATGTGGATGGACTGTACAAAATAGACTTTTGCCTAAAACAAAATGTACCATGGAAATTCTAAAGGGCATACGAAAAACTAAACATATTAACTACAAACCTAAGCTAATTTTGTTCAAAAGCCTACATAAGCACCCCTAGGTCTAATTTATTTAAAAAGGCCTACACCTTGCAAATAATTTGGTTGGTGCAAGGACATTTGGTGGGTCCAAAAAGTGGTATTTCGTACACTACATCCACAGTCACTGTATACTATCAAAAAAACATCCACAGTCACTCTGAATGTTCTGCTGGCCGTTTCTCTCCCCCAGACATCTGGTACTCGCCAAGCAGCAGCTGACTGTGTTAACAGTGAAGGGTTCAGACGAATGGAACAGCCCGTCCTCATAAACCAAGGCCAAATGTTCGTTAATTCGGCCGTCAAAGTCCACATTTATTAATGAAAAACTTTACAATCGACTCTCAACTTTTGTCACGAATGCGGAAAGGTCACATTCGAGCCTTTCTAACTGCTTCGCTCGCCTTTCATTCGAATTGCACTTCAGTAAATAATTGCCAACAGAATCTAACCACATAACCTAAGCAGCCTAACTGTTATTTATTTATATGTTTAGATTCAGATTCAGATTCAGATGTTTATTCAGGTAAGGTATATACATACAAGTGATGTTACATTAATGGATTGATATATAGATAGAGCTAGTACATACAATGCCTAAAGCCACTATTACGAATAGTGGCAAAAGTTCTTACATTCTTACATTAATGTACAAAAGTTCTTACATTCTTGTACAACCACTAGCACGCATAGCGTTTCGGTCAAGTCCTTATAATATATTTCCCAGAATACGACCCGCCAAATCGTTTAACCACCAGGTACCTATTTTACTGTTGAGTAAACGGAGGCTACAGTTAAGGATTGACGCGCAGTAAATCCTCCACAGTCAGGATGCGAACCCAGGTCAAAGAGTTCGCGAAACGCCAGACGAGCGTTTTACCACTACGCCACGAGAGCTGCTATACGTCAAACTAACATTAAATTATATTGTATTTCAAAAATACCAGTTGTGAATGCAAAGTACGTTAAAATTGACGAATGACGGATCGGCCACCACTTGGACGGAGCCCGTCATCTCGTCGAGGCAGCAGCCGACCCAGAAGACACACCCATATATAAGAGCGTACCGGGGAGGGAGGGGATACGCAATTACAATTATTACCAATTACAAACAATTGTGGCGGGAAGAGAAGGGAACTATGAAGAGAAAGTGCCAAGGCATTACGACGATATAGCAAGTGAAAGAGGTCAGATTAAGGATTTGGGATGGGACGAGGGGAAGGAATGGTGCCCAACCACTTGGACGGTCGGAGATTGAACGCCGACCTGCACGAAGGGAGATCGTCGCTCTACCGTTCAGTCCAAGTGGTTGGGGGGGGGGTCTAATTCTACTCGACACAACTTCTCTCGAGTGCAAGATGGTGTCGGCGTGCTGACACCATTTTAGGTGTAATTAGGTTTCACTCTGTTCCCAGAGTCAAACCACTCGCGCTGTTATGAAATATAAAACCAAAATTTAAAAAGTACAGAAGTTTGCCACAAGACTGATGTCAGAGCTATGAGGATCGGCCAATGAATCTAAATTTCACAGATTTCTAAGTTTCTTCTACCCTAAAGGGATAGAAGAAACAGAGTGGATATACTCAGGACATACAAAATACCATGAGGAATAGACATGAAGGACATGGCAAGCCTCTTCCCATCAAGAGAAAGTAGGACGAGAGGACATAGTGGAAGCTAAAAATAGAAAAGTCAATGAAATAAGGAAAATGCTTGTACCCTGTACGGGTGGTCAATTGGGTTTGGGGGAGTAGAAATAGCCTAAGCTACTCTATCCCTTTGAGATGTATTTCTTGCTTATCTCAATAAACATACTTGAACTTGAACTTGGCCAATAGGCGAAATACACTGATGCAGTTTAATGCTGATAAATGTAAAGTTCTGAGGTTAGGTAATGATGATAGAGTTACAAGATACGAGCTAGATGGTGTTGTGATTGCGAAGTCGGATTGCGAAAGGGATCTGGGAGTTATGATTAGTAAGAATTTAAAACAAAAAAAGAAGTTGTGAAAACCCCCTCCATCCATAACCTTAATGCCAGAGGAGATAAAGATTACGCCACACACAAGAGGCGACACGGGGATGAATAGCCCGTAAAGATGAGATAAAAATTCGAATAGTTAACTAGTAGCTCAACAGGTACAACAATGCTATGTGGGAGGTGGGGTTAAAGAGCTGTTCTACCAGACTCCCGCGTATACAGGCAAGTACTTACTGGCCAGAGTCAACGGTGCTTAACCTAACTGACCAATTGACGCGCACTCTAACAACTATGCTTAACCTGGTACAGATATATAGATGCTGGACTCACCAGATCAGATGAATGTGCAGTGTTGAAGGGGTCTGCTTGAAGTGCAGTGCTGGGGGTCGCCTGCTGCCTCCTTCAGACACACACACACACTCCCCTGAGTCACTGCTCCTTCAATACTTGCACAAAAATTGTAGTTTTCCAATTCACATTAAAAACTAAACATAACACAATTTTCCCCAACCGTAAATGTTCTATGTATATTCCCAAGCGGCGGTTGAGTCAGGCGAGCATAACTAGGCCCGGGAGACATATAATCCCGGCACGCTGTTGCTCGGGTTGGTGGTGTGGTTGTGTATGAGGTGTGTACCAGCCGCCTCCCTCCTCCCGGTACCACCACGTGTGCAGACCACCACTGGCGGAGTCGCACTGTTGGCAGTTAACTGGTTGTATAGGTAGCTACGCGCTCCAGCGGTTGCCCAATCGGCAATTCCCTAGCGTGTTGTTCGGCTAGCAGCAGCAGCAGCAGAAAACAAGTGGTGGTAGAAAATGTAGATGTTTATCTCTCAGAATGTTTGGTAATATGTTTATTGTTTGTGATGTGTGTATATGTATGTATTAACACGATGTACTGAACGGGGTGAGAATAGCTTGAGCTATCTCATCCCTTTGTATGTATTTTACCTCGATAAACTTATTTAAATTTCAATTTCAGTGTGGTGGTAGTTCATATATACATCTGAATGTATTGTTGGGAAAGTTATGCAAAAACTCTTTCATATTAAGTCAATTTATTCACTTGGAGTATAATACACAATGTAACACCCTTTAGACAACAGGTGGACACATGAAAGCCTGATTATAATTTGCAGCTTATTTTAGCTACAAAATTAAATATATCCTAATAAAATATCCATAATTCTTATTTTCAGCATATAATTCAGAGATAAAATATTTAACAAGTAAAATCAGCACTAACATTATTTATTTACCCTTATTGTGCACACTTCTAAAATATTTGAAAAAACAAAGTTTCTTCTTTCCAGCCGACCGTTAAAACTGTTGAAACAATATTTTCAGAAACTATATATTTCTTTGGACATGCAGAATTTCAAATTAATTAAATTGTTACTGATACTGTATAAGTTCTTCAAATTTGGATAATTATCCTTTTTTTTTTAATTCAAGGAAAAATCATAAACATTAAAGTACCAAAAATTGCCTCTTACTATTTTGCATAAAAATGTCGTGTGCAATGCTGCCATATACTTTAAAATTATTCTAATTAATAACTTCACTTGCATAATGACAAGGTTTTATCGTTTTATTAGGTAAAATAACCAGAGAAATAAATTTTGGTAATTTTAGGGATTTTCATAAATTTCTTGTGAAAAACGTCAATTTGATGTGAACTGTTGTCTAGGGTTAATAATAAATGACTCAGTAATAACAAAACCGAAAAATTTATATGACAGTATCTTTTACATTACAAATGCAATGAAAACAATTTTAAAATTGTTTTGTATTCCTAACAAAAATGTATACAAAACTGATAACCTGAAGAAACATATGGTATTATAATTTTTGTTCACAATAAATGGCATATATAATATAATAAGACACACAGATTGGTATCAAAAGCTCACTACACACACACATCTCAAGGTTTAACAATACAACTAATGTATCACTACAGAAACACATTTTAAATACTTTCAAATAGTTTCACCTTAGATTGTCGTATGATCATAAATACAACAGAAAAAACTGGCTGCCTCACAACCTTGTTGTAGTGCTGGAGACTATAGCTAACAACAAACCTTCAGCTACATTGGTCAAGTTTAAAAGGGCCTTATGAATGCTGTAATGCAGCAGTAATAAATGCACTCACACACGCTCATAAACACACACACACACACCTCCTTTAGTAGGCAAAATACTTATAGTTATAGTGTACTGTACACTGAAGCTACTCCTGGGTTTGTGTAGGACAACCACTTACAACCATAACACAACTATTACAACACACTTCCCTCTCTTGCACTAACTGATTATTTCTAAATTCTGATCTACCCAACTAAATTTTTCAGCAGGACTTCTGTTACACTAATAGTATTTATCACATAAACCAGGCCATGCAGTTAAATTCAGGAGGAAACTTTTAGTTGAAGTTAACGTGCCAGTTATTTTATATCTATCATAATTTATTTGACAACTAAGACTCGGTCAAATTGAAACCCCCGAGAGTCTGCACAATTTTATTTACTTAATTCTTCTAATTTTCATGTTCATATAATTGGTACAGTACTTGAATATAGAGAATATGTGACAATGTGAATGTGTACAGGCAGAACAATCCTAAAATATGTTCATGATTGCATGTATATATCGATTTAATCTCTACAATTGATAAATTTTGATGCTTTAATCCAAAATTTTATATAAACAATAAACTCAATAACTAATTTAGTTGAATTGTAACTTCTTAGATTCACAATTTCTGCCATACAATATAAATATAATTAATTAATTTGTGTAAACTGCACACCTTTTGGTAAAGCTTTTAACACCAATGTATTTTATATCATTTCATGCTGTTGATTCAACATAAGAGTGCCTAGATGTACTGTACTCAAGACAGCACACATTTTCTCAGCCGTCTTTAACAATCTTTAGTTTTGTATCCTAGTTTCATACTTTTCATTTTAAATCGCCTCATTTTGTTCTTAAAACTCACTTTTTAATTTGTATCTTAAATGGTCTTTGTTAGATTTAAAACAGGGTGTCCATATAGACTCCTCCTCACACTTGCAAAATAAAAAAAAAGAGAGTTTACATTTTTTCTTTCTTGTGCATGGCATAATGATTACCTGGGCAGTAAAATAAGATGCACTTTCATGTCATATACCAACGGCTTGTGTAAAATAACATTTATTTATAGTCTATAGACACAGATTTTAAAAAATTTGTATCTTTTAATTTAAGTGTTAAATCAATAGGCAGAATTTAGTTATATGTATTACTGCACTTAAAAATCTGAACAAGATACTACAACCAATATTAAGCATTAAACACAAACTTCTACTACTGTTTGAATAAACAGGCAAATTTACAATCAATATAACATTATTAATTATTTCAATAGCATTTGGTACATCTAGTGCGAAAAAATCAGCATTGAATGTAATGAAACGCCTCTTTCTGGTGAAGTCCTGGTGACACTTTGAAGCTGTCTCACTATGATGGCTCCCCACTCCTGGGTCACATCAGTCACAGAAGTCCTGTTTGGTCTACTAGAGATGAGAGCCAGCAGCTGGCTCTCTCACACAGGTACAGAGAGCAAGGGATTATCTTCACCCCTCACCAGAAAAGCATGCAGAAAATCAGCGAAGCTCTCAACCCGTCCTTAGACCAAGTCCATTCCATCCAGCAGACAACCCCAAAGATGCATTCATCAACTTTAACATGCTGTCCATTCAAAACAGAAATTTTCTCAAATATAAATTATTATTATTATGTATTAACATATTGTGCATATTTAGGCTTTGGTTAGGTTAGGTGCTTAGGTTCTGTTAGCGATTATTTGTATTTGTAGTACGTGGGTTAACCATTTACAGCATTGTGGTTTGAACAAAATTCGACAGGAAGCACTTGTTCCGGAAGTGTTCGAACGTCATCATTTGCGAGTCTTGTGTAAACTGTTTTTCATTTATACATAAACATGGGGTTTGCCAGGTGCATGGAATCACTTTTGGCCTTTGTTTATGAGGGCAGGCTGAAGCTCTACAGACAACTATAAGGTTCACAGCAAACAAAGCACTGAAACAACCTAAAGACTCCATAAATGATTCAGTCCAAACAATTGATTCACTTGAAACTAGCGTAAACTCCTTAGTACTGATGACCACCACTAGGTGACCCGGAGCCCCCCAGCCAACAGTCAGCTCCTAGATCAGTTTAGAGCTGATGCTCTGGAGCTGACAGGTGCTCTTCAAGAAAGAGGCATTTCATTACATTTAATGATAGTTTTTTGAGAGCCCCTTTGTGGCTCTATGAAGCTAATTAACCATAGAGCAAAAGGCAAACAAGCGATTTACCAGAGAGATGTGGCAGGTACTAGGTCAAAGAAGAGACGGTGGGCCAGGAAACCTAGCCCGGTGCAATACAAGACCGACTGGGATCATGTTAGAACTCCAAACACACAACCCGATCCCAAATATCAGCCCAAGACATGTTGGAGAAAACTGTAGCCAAAGCAGTGTATTTAGAACAACCTGGGCTCGAGGGTAGACTGAAGGCTGGTATCAGCGATAGGACTTACCATGAAGCTGGTTCTTGGACAGGGCTCTGAGCATCCTCGTCCCAGTCATCAGTACTAACAAGTTCGAGCTAATTTTGAGTGAACCAATTATTTGGATTGAATACTTCATTTCCTACTAACCTTGCAGTTGTCCGTAAAGCTTCACCGACTTTCTAAATGCTTTCTCAGTGAGGGATGATGCTAATAGTCCCTTGCTAATTATGGCTCTGTGGAGGAGGCTGGGCCAAATTCTGGCTCTGGTCTCCAGATTACCAAACATGACTCCTGCAACTGATGTGATCCAGTACTTGGAGCCACTAAAGGGGCTCCTCTCAGAAAGCCACACTGTGCTCAACATTACACCAATAGTTTATAAAAAGAGCATGCACAAAATATGTATGAGAATATTTGGGGTAGAAGATATATAACATAAAAGGTACATTAATACCTGTCTATTCTAAAAAAGATATTTACCTTTGGTTTTTATGCAATTAATATTTAATATAAACATCATAATTACTTTTGTACAAATGAACAATACAACTTAATTTTAGTTACTGAACTAATACAGTATTTATATTCATTTAAATAAGTTTATTTTTATCTGTACTCGATAAGGTGATGAATATTAACGTAATATTGTTACGTTATATAGCACTTGGTGGCACCAGAATCAACTGTTGTTAGAGCAGGATTCAAGACCTTGACTAATGAGCTCGTATGATGAAATCTATCTACCTATATTCTATATATCTTATTACCTGTAGGAACATTTCTTGTGAGGAAGGCTACAGCAAGGAAGTTTCTAGGGTGTTCAGTCCAACCACAGTTCTAGTGTGCTTCATTTACCAATTTTTCCTATTGACAGCTTTGATGTTCATATATAACTTTGCCCATCAAGAATTCCATTTTTTTTTTTTTTTTACAAGTCCCTTTTATTTTCCCTGGATAACAGTCTTCCAGGAATGTAGTTTCCATAAACAAAACATTTACATTTTTTTCCTATAACATTGCCTCATTATTAAAGCTGTAACGTCAAGGAAAAATTTAACTTTTATATGAAAATGTTCAATTTTTACTTTATGCAAAAATGTAATGATAATAGCTTACTGCATGATCATAATAGATATAGAACTGCCTTAAGTATGTTGCACAATTGGCATTTGGCAGTATTATTAGTAGAGAACATCAGAAGAATAGTTAACATTGCAGTACTTTTACAAGGTAGAGCAAGAGTTTATACACATATCAACTTACACATGCTTAAGCTAACCTTTACAAATTACCAGCTGGTTCATGGATTGTAGATGAAAGATATTTATGAAATTTAAGAGCTACCATCTTCAACTGAACTATCATTTTAGTACAGTAGCATGCTAAAAAAAAATAATTAAGCAAATAAAACAAACGAAAGTATGTCAGCGTGAAAAATTTGTTGGATATTAAAGTGTTAATACACCTGACCTTACAGCTGAAAATATTATGCATGGTAAAACTAAATATTGTTAGCTTTAACAGAAATCTTACATGCATAGTGTTAATTATTAAGTGCATAATTAAAAACCTGCTTTGATAAAGTGAATGTATTTACCTGAGTGACATGACGAGAGTCTACAAGAATATACATACTGTACCTCTACAGTATCAGCAAAAGCTTCAACCAACAAGACAGCCAGCAGGAATTTTGTAATACAAATACTGTACATTGGAATGTTGTTAAGAATGGTTATCTTTATTAATCCTTGCTATCCTCATCCAATGATGCTTTGAAAAACTAAAATTCCCCCCCCCCCCCATTGTAAATATGCTTGTAACAAAGTATGAATTGTTTTCGTAGCATTTTAACAATAAGGCATCGTGTAACTATGAGGAGCACTTTGCAAGTACTGTAATACATTCAGTTGTTACCTGAAGGCAAGGTTTCTATCTGGTTATAATGAAGAGGGTCATAGTGAGGGTAGGCAAATATTCTACATAGGTGTCAGATCATGTCAGTGCTAAGGAGACACTCAAGAAATACTGACTCCAGCCTCGAATGACCTCTATAAAGCTAATTCATTGTCGCTCAAAGCTCTATGTGGCATCACGAAGATTGCCGAGTAGCACTATCAATGGGGTAGAGGCTTGGTGCCAACTGGCAATTAGTGAGTGCTACTATTTGGCAGTCTCTGTGATGCAATGTGAAGCAAATATTGAGTCTACAATGTTTTAAATTGTCTTCTTGGTTCAGTCTTGGTTCAGTCTTCAAATTTAAGACTGAACCTTCTAGAGATCATTTTGTCTGGATTATTTCTCCAATACGATCCAGCAGGTACAGTTTGAAAACATTTCAGTAATGCTAGTTTGGACTGCCTACCTTCCCAGTTTACAATGCTTTCCAATTGAATTAGAAAGGACCTTGCCTTAAAGAGTAACAAATTGGCAAGTTAGCAAACGTGATAATTTTCAGCTTAAATGTTATACTTTTATTTCTATATGTAATATCAAATTACAGAATTCCAAAAGCAAACAAATGTTATGGATTGGTCAAAGAGAGAATTTTAGCTAAAGCATTCTCTAAATACCATTATCACGGCACAAAATTTTGTAAACCGCATGACCTGGGCTATTAATATCTAAGCCACAAGGTAACCTGCCATTTGAATTTGTAAGCCACATAGGCCACTTGTTATATTATTAGATAAAACTGTGCTTTTGAAAAAGCTGTCTGAAGATTACTCTTTTTACAATACATATTTAAAAATCCTCATTTCTAGGATCTGCAAAGTAAACCTCATATAAAATGATTTATGCAAGAATGATTAAGTAACCACCCATTATGTATCAAAAAGCTTCAAACCATCCTTATTGGTATACTTATTATCAGCTCAAATATTAATCACATTACAACTATGACTTGTCACCCTTCTTCAGAAAACATTTAAAGTGGCTTTCCAGGTGTCCCGATGTTAGCAAAAGAGTGAGTTTCGGTGAACATAATCCAGTAGACACCTCAGTTGTTCACATATGAATTGAAAGTAGAACCAATAGTCGATTGCAAACGAGTCCAAATTAAAAAAAAAATTAAAGCTATGGACTCTTATTACAGTACCTGTACATGTCTAAAGCGGCAAAACCATTAATCCCTGGTAATCTCGCTGATCTTAAAATACTGCATAAGGGAATGCATATAGTGATAAAGAAACATGAAGGCAAGGCATATACTTGCATATCATGTCCATGGAATATATATACTAACTTACCCTGAATATCACATTCTTGTATTAAGTTCAACAAAAAAAGTTTAACATACTACAACATATATGGGAAAACCTCCTTACCTTATTATTCTAGTCCCTTTGTGCTGCAGCATAAAATATAACTTCAGTGCCACATCAGGTAACATATATCCCCTCAGTGTCACATCAGGTAACACATAGTCCCCTCAGTGTTACATCAGGTAACATATACAGAATCTCCTCATTGTCACATCGGGTGACAAATGAACCTCGCCCACAAAGTCACATCAAGTGATACATTTACATAGTTAGTGCAGAGCTGTAATGCTAATTTAGAAGAAATGTGCTTCAAGGCTTAAGGGACACCACAAGACAAGATGTAACAGGTATAAGGGAATACTTTTGCTACTTGACAAAGTCTCGAGCAAAGAGTCAAGATCACCTCATACAGTATCTATTTTAAAACTTTGAATGAACCTTGATGCAAGCAAATGCACCACGGTATATGGTGGAGGATATGAGGAATACTACTCATGACTACCACATGATGGGAAGTGGTACTGGTTGTAACTGGAGGAAACCTAGAATGGGTTCTAAGAGTTTTTTCACTCCTCAAGCCTGGCTGATCTTGTGACTAGCACAAAGTCAGTAACTCACTTTGATTCCTTATCTGCATGCAGTGGTAATACCATTTACAAACAAAAACAAGAGACTGACATTCCAGCCATGTCAGCACATCATTCATAGGAGGTTCATATAATGAGTATGTCAAAAGAGCACACAAGTTAAAAATTATTCATAAAATATTACTGTATAACATAATACCTTTATATAATGTGTTGTCAACTAATAAATATTGTAATAGTTCATTTTACAATATTCCCTTGTGCACTAATTTGTGAAAAGTTTACAAGAAATTATATACAAAAGGATTGCTTTAATATATCATATATATAAGAAATAAATAATCAGACAGTTGCCTACTGATTACATACATACATGCGTGTGTGTGTGTAATTACCTAAGTGTAGTTACAGGATGAGAGCTACGCTCATGGTGTCCCGTCTTCCCAGCATTCTTTGTCATATAGCGCTTTGAAACTACTGACGGTCTTGGCCTCCACCATCTTCTCACCTAACTTGTTCCAACCATCTACCACTCTGTTTGCGAAAGTGAATTTTCTTATACTTCTCCGGCAGCTTTGTTTCTCTACAGTAGTTTAAATCTATGACCACTTGTTCTTGAAGTTCCAGGTCTCAGGAATTCTTCCCTATCTTTAAAGATTTCTCACATAATTTATAGGTTGTATGGGGTCTATGTTCTCCTATTCTACATTCTATAACATGGCATTTATTCACATTAAATTCCATTTGCCAAGTGGTGCTCCATATACTTATTTTGTCCAGGTCTTCTTGAAGGGCACGACAATCATCTAAGTTTCTTATCTTCCCTACTACTTCCCTACTATCTTAGCATCATCAGCAAACATGTTCATATAATTCTGTATTCCAGTGTGTGTGAGTGTGTATGTTATTGTAAGATCATGAAAGTGTAATTACCTAAGTGTAGTTACAGGATGAGAGCTACGCTCTTTTACAACCTTCTACCACTCTGTTTACAACCTTCTACCACTCTGTTTACAGTGTGTGTGTATATATATGTATGTATGTACTATCTCTGTATATCAGCACAATATACTGTACATGTAATTAACTAGGACTAATGCAGAGAAAACCACATGAGAAAAGTAAAACAAATTAATTTCCCAGGTGCTTGTGTTACATTTTAGACATGAGTATATTTTTCCAGCTTAATGAATTTGAATTCATCAATCTGTCACAGTGTAATCTTATGATAATGTAACCTAATAGTTAGTTGCAGACACCATTTTTTGTCCTTAAACTGCCTTCTTCATAATTAATGTATATATATTGTTAGTAGTCTTCTATGTTTAGCTAAATGATTTTTAAATATACAGTTTGTTTACTAATATGACAAAAAATATACAAGGTCAGGAAGGCGTTTTGAAATTTCAGGAGCCTACTGTCCGAAGCCTAAGCTCCCCAGTTGTTTCCTTTTTACCATCAGCTAGGGGTCGGAACAATCTTTTCTTTTCCTTATCAGCTGAGTTCTTAGCAAATATCCCGGCCCAACCATATAAAATTAAAAAGAGAACACTGGAGAATTCTCAGTGCAGGTGGCAGCACCAGAACTGAAAATACCGAACCCAAAATCACACCTCACTTTGTTCCCTGGCTTTGCCAGCTATATCTAGCTGATCACTGAAGGACTGATATTCAGTTAACAGATAATAGGTACATTGAGACATCTCTCTCTCTTTCTCTCTTGTGCAGGAGGGGGGGTCTACTTGTCAATGCTTCAGTTTTTTTTTTTTTGTCTTTTCATGTTTAATGCTGTACTGAACCAACGTGGGTAAGATTTGTTGTCAGGCAGATAGGATATTCAGTTGGGGAACTATCCTCTTGAGGAGACCCTGTCTTGTGGGTACCTAGGGATGAGAGCCCAGAGGTTCGGTTTCATGTCACTTAATGAGATTCATGCATCCTTTGTCCTGGGGTCTCACTTGCCAGTAGCTCTATTTTTTATACTTTCAGTTCTGTTTTTATTCATTCACAGATATGTTCTCATCTTTTCCTTTTTGTGGTGGACATGGTTACATTGAGACCTATTGAAAGCACAAGTTCAACTGATGGTTATCTTGAGTTATCTTGAGATGATTTCGGGGCTTTAGTGTCCCCGCGGCCCGGTCCTCGACCAGGCCTACACCCCCAGGAAGCAGCCCGTGACAGCTGACTAACTCCCAGGTACCTATTTACTGCTAGGTAACAGGGGCATAGGGTGAAAGAAACTTTTGCCCATTTGTTTCTGCCTCGTGCGGGAATCGAACCCGCGCCACAGAATTACGAGTCCTGGCCGCTATCCACCAGGCTACGAGGCCCCTATGGTTGCATTCTTCAAACCTAGTTCTAGGCAGGTCCCAGATATTCTAGGGACCACTTATGTGTTACCTAGTACTGTACTAGGTACTGGCCCTGGTGACATTTGCGCCCTGGAGAGGCCACTCCAGACCGACAACCAGAGCGCAACTACATAGTCTCCTGAGACTGATGGATGCCTACTAGTACTGTACTGTATGCTCTTCTGCAGCACTGCAGGCATAGAACCTTCATTCAGGATTGAGACTGAGGCTGCTTCGTGCACCTTTATAGATTTCTAGATGCCTTTTGATGCTGATGAATATTTCTGTTGCCTTTAGCACTTGCCCTGCTGGGTGCAAGGCCATTTTCATCCTTGAGTGTGTCCTGTGTGCTGGATGATGATTCTATCCAATTCACCATCTGTTGTTGTTGTTGTTGTTGTTGTTGTTTTAGATTTAGCTACTCAGAATGAAATGTCCATGTAACACAGGCTATGGTGAGCCCGTAATCGAGTTTGGTTATTCGCGATAACCTTGTTACTGTGATATTTGGGTCAAAGTTTTAAATGGAGGTGGGGGTTTCCTCCTTTTTCCCCTGTTTCTTTTTATGCTTCCGTTTTAGTCTTATAATTAGTGATAATTAGAGCCCTTGCCAAATGTTTCACTAATGTTGGACAGATCAAGTAATAAGAGGCATCAATAAAGACACAAACTTTATCTCAAAACTTCAGAAGTTCTAGGATTCAAAAACCTGATTTCCTGTCCATACTACCCAGAAAGTTGGGCCACGTTGGAGAGGTCCCACCAGTTGTTGAAGTCAATGATCAGCATCAATTGTACCAAGTTGAATGAGGAGTAGGATGAGAAATTACCTCTTCTCCTGTTTGCTACCAGAGATGCAGTACAAGGCTCACTAGGCTACTCGCCTTTATGGCTGTTAAGAGGCATGCTTAAATTATAAGTTAATGAATTGCTTAAACAACACACTGAAAAAGAGAGAGAGAGAGAGAGATTCTACCCAGATTAATTGACTTATTTCTGAGGTCAAACACAAGATATGAGAAATGCTCAGGTGCAAATGAAATCCTGGTTTAGCATAAAAGATTTTTTTAGAAAACTTTAACCCAAGAGATCAGATCCTTATGTTGTCTTCTTTTCGTATATGATTGGTCAGAGATCTTATTTGCCAAGATTCAGCTGCCAAAGGAGATGAAGTTGTTCTGACCAAGGCTAGACAGTACAGTAAAGGCAAGTTGGACTTGCCTAAGGCAACAACCAATGGGACTAGCTCAGAAGAAAGCATTATGTCTACACTCGTTGATTTATATTTTCCCAGTAAATATTTGACAAGTATAGGTTAAATCCTATCATCATTGATTATAAATCAAGGTCGGCTAATTCACATTTGGTTGAGATCATTAACACTATGAATTAACAGGTGTCTACTGTAAAAACCACATATTTTAAACAAATTAAATAAATATAACTATACAAATTGTGTACAGTACTGAATTAAACATTATTAACTATCAGAGACATTAACTAATCAGTAATTTGTAAACATAGAAACAATGAGCAATCTCTGAGTTGACTAAGCAATACAAAAACATTTACAACAACAGTGAACCTATTATAAATCACAGAACAGATATCCTCACACCACAAACAGTATAATGCTGACACCAGCACATCCTGAGTGACTAATTTCAGGCAAAAGTAAACCACTCAACTGGCTCAGTTTGAAAAGTCAAGGATCGATGGTCTTTAAGTGAAAAATACAATAAAAAGCTGCCAAATACCGTATACATTTAAAATGTGTGTATAACAACAAATTGGGAGATTTCATATATCTACAGTAGTAATGTATTTCAGACAATTTTAAAATCAATACATCTATTTTAATCAAAATTAAAAAAAAATTATTATAACCTAGGAAAGACCTAGGTTCCTAGGTAATCTAGGAAAGACTTGACAGCTGTAGTTAGCAAAAAGGAGCACATCCCTGACTGGATATGGGCTCTTTAAGTACTATTGACTTGCATGTAGATTCCAGTTATTTTACTTACATACCGTACTTCAATTATTTTTTAATCTCAGCAAGTACCTCCGCTTGACACTCTTGCCTTAACTTTGCCAACCGAGCTCTTGGAAAAGATCCAGATACCTTGAATACATTCTGAAAATTAGAAAATAAATGTCGTTTTAGTTTAATTCCTCTCATCTTTCCTGAAAAATGTTTAACCCACGTTATCAACATTATTGGAAAGACCTGAAATCACTATCAGTAATCACTTGAGTTGGAGACCTATACAGTACTATAGTCATCACAACTAATCACCTGGGAAGTATTAGCATCGACTGTCCTCCAAGTTTGTGTTTCCAAGAGTAAAGTTCCTCACACAATGAACTTGATTTAAGTTTGATAGGTAACAGACTATCTGTGTAGGAAGATATAGGCCATTCACACACAAAGATCATGACTTTTAACTCCACTTCCGGCTCTATCAGAGTTAAAGCAACATGATTGATGTTGTACATATTGTATGTAATGACATGGTTTCTTCTATTATTGTTTACCTTGCATTGCAATATGCTAATCAGCTGAAGTCAAATGATTCTTTGCTTCAGGAGGTAAGGACTTTCGACTTGGTCAGCCTCCATCCACCAACTTGTTCACATCTCGTGTGCTGTTCACATTTAATCTCTGCTTCCCCACACATTCACTCACTATATAAATCCACTTTCTCATTTGTCCTCTCTTTCTCCTACCCTCAGATTCATTCAAATACTCTTTCTTCACCAATTTATCTGCCATTATTTTAACATAAACAAACCATCTTAGTACACTTTAAATTTTGCAGTTCATCTCTCTCAACAATATTTTTGTTCCTTACTCTATTTCCCTGACACCACACTTGCTTTGCAGTGTTTATTTTTACAGCTATAAGTCTTGATTTTTATGATCATTCCACACACTTTATGTCAAGTATTCATACATATGGGTAACAATTACCACTGCATCAGGCAGCCCTCTAGTCATATTTCTTCATATGGAGTACTATCTAACAAGGGTTTTCCTTCCCCTACTCACTCTACTCTCTAGTTTACTTCCATAATACTTATTTTTCTTAGCCTCACATCCCAGGTATTTTCACTTCGTAAAGAGCGAGCAGTTGACAACAGCAGATGCGCTACAGGTTTTGCAACACTATAGAATTTGTAGATATGTCTAGATATGACATGAAAAATTTATCATTTTTAATGATCAATCATGGATTTTGGAGAAAGTAATAATCAAAAGAAGGCACCAAGCCAAGGAAACTATGTAGTACCATCAAAGTTACCGAATAGTCAAATATGCGCTAAATATTACTAAGGATGCCAATACGAGAACAAAAGCGCGTAAGGTGGGCGATATCAAAGGTATCAGAGTTACCAAGGATTCTTTCGAGGGGCAAGTGACCATAAGGAAAAGGAGGGAAGCAAAACACACGTACGTCCTGAAAGTCAGGACATTCAACAAGGATATGTATGACTGTAAGAGGAACAATGCAGTTTGAACAATAAGGAGCATGATGGTTCTCTATTAAGTGTCCACGAGTTAAACATGCATGGCCAATACGTAACCTCTCCAGAGCTATTTCCTAACACTGGTTACAGTGGTAGGAAGTAGGCCAAGGGGACAGGCTACCCTTAAGAGCACGCAGTTTGTTACTAGTACTGTAATAGAAAACCAACGACCCTTCCAATGGATACAGATCGAGGAATGAATGACTGGGTAGAAATTGGATTAGGGAATGCCTTTTTAGGAAATAGGACAAGTGTGGATAGCCTCCTTAGCAGCAGTGTCCACATGCTTATTTAAGGAAATACTGTACCAAAATGGCTAGGAACCCAGCAAACTGATTTAGGAAAAAAAAAAGGCAGTAGGGCTACAGTGATTTTCAACTTTTATCCTGAGAATGTGATCATGAGCTCACTAACCTATCAAGGACTATTTTCCAAGTATCATTGCAAACAGGAAAACTAGTACCTGTACACATCTGAATAATGACAAACATCATCCCAATTTATTCATTGTATTACAAACAAAAATTAAATTCATATTTTACCTGCATAAATGCATGACAATCAATGGTATTTGTGTCATTTGTTATAGCTTTGAAGCACTGAATAATATCGCCAAAATCTTGGCTCATCAGGATCTTCTGGTGATTGGAGAGCACCAATGTTATTGCCACACGCATCAGTACCTTGTTGCCTTCATAAAACAAACAATCCCATATCCTCAGTACTGTCTATGAAAGAGAAACAATGACTGCCATCAGTAAATTTGCTCTGTTCAAGGGGCTTTATTCAATCTTTGAATGTAAGGAGCTGTCTGATATTTAGCAAATTAATGAACAAAGTGTTATTTTATACAGTTAACATAAACAGAAAAATACTTACCTGGATACTAAGGATTAAACTCATGAAATATTAAATACTGTATACAGTACTACAGTCTACAGAGAAGAGGCTACCTCATCGCCCACCACTATGTGATGCAAATAGCCTCTCATTCCCTGTGATATTTCTTTTTAGGAGTAATATTGGGTGTAATTTTTTTATTTTTAGGAGTAATATTTCCACTAGTGTGGAAATTGGGTTGTGGACAAGGAGAATGAGGTGCCAGCCAGCATTATTGAGACAGTTTAACAGGTTTCAAGAATTGACTGGATAGGTATCTGGGTGAGAGAGGGTGGATTTAAGTGGCCAAACCAAATTATTCAATTAAATGAAGAGGGAGGTAGGCAAGGTTGGCAGCGAGGAAATTTCAGGGATTCCTCCACACCAATACTATTAAACACATGACTTTTCCTTAGTTTTCAATTATTACATTAATAAATATTCAATTTCTCCCATATTTCAAGTTATATAGGAGAGGAGAGCACATATACAGTACTGTACATTTATTTCAACCAGAGGGTAAACAAAAAATGTATACAGCAATCAGTGATTGACCAACACTTCCTCACCTGTTTCAGTTTTATATTAATGTTTTAGCATTATTGCATTGTTCAAATGTTATTATAATTCTTTCAGTTTAATTAGCTTTTAGGATGATCAAATTTATTCAGGAAATGCTCTAAATGTAAATAGAATTTAAATTATTCTTTGCAGATATAATGCAAATGCTAGGCAATACCGCTCTCCAATTATGCAGTACTAGTAAATTGTACTGTACTGTACTTATCACAAGTCTAAAATGCTAAGGAAATTTATAAGTGGTATCTAAAGACCTTTTTCATTACAGTTAAGATTCTTGAAATGAGCACCAACAAATTTAACAGTCCCCCGTGGCATAGTGGTAAGCTGCTTGCCTGGCGTTTCACTAGCGTTTTGTACCTTCATACAAAGTACGAGTGCGTTGTACTTTGTAATGGGTACCTGGTTGTTAAACGATTTGGCAGGGTTGTATTCCGGGGAACGTAGGATTAAGGACGTGACTGAAACACTACGTGTGCTAGTAGCTGTACAAGTATGTAAGAACTCTTGTATATACAGGTACATGTATAAATCAAAATAAAATAAAATAAACAAGATTGAGAATAAAGTCAAATGCAAAATTTGGGAAATAAATGAGCAGGGAAGAGTTTAACAATTTGTGATGCTTTGAGTAAACTTTTAATTAAATTTTATATCGTGAATTAGAAGGCATATACAGTATACAGAACATAAAATGATATGAATAAAATACCTTCATGAAATTTACCATCACAAACAACATCAAACACCATCATATATTGGCACTATTCTCAATGTCCCTAAGCTGATAAGTTAACTTTTTCTATGATGGACAGTATAATCATACCTTAAGTTAATCAAATAAATAACATGGTTTCATTAGTGATGCAGTACCTCAATGGGTAGAACTTCCGCAAAAAGGCAGATAAACCACTTTGTTGTAAGTAGACCCCAGGTCAAGCCATAATGGTTGACGTGCTTCCATATTAACGGAGCCTGCTCCCTGTGTGCACAAAAAAAAATTAAAGTTAAAAAAGAGAGACTTTAATATAAAAAATACTTAGGAGTTAACAAGATATTTAAATAAAATAACCATTTACTGTATAATGTACATGTAAAGATAGTGCTTTTGAAAACAGGAAGTGTAAATACATTTTTAATGAGCCTTCGTGGATGCAAATGATAATGATATCGGGTAGTGTATACAAGACACTGATCAAGACGAGACAGTAGAATATACCCCGACCCCAACCACATTGGGGTCGGGTATAGGGTCAGGTCAAGGAACTCAACCTCACAACCTTAGAGAGAATAAATAGAGAATGTGATCACTACATACAAGATAATATGGGAAATACAAAAGATGGACAAGAGCAGTCTACAGTATTTAGATTGAAAGAAAGTAGGTAGGACAATAGGATATCATTGGAAACTGGATATACAATCGAGTTGCAGAGATTCAAGGAAATTCTCATAAACTGTAAGTACGTTAGCAAATGAAATGCAATGATGGAGGAAGTTGTCATAGTTATTTCCATCCACAACTTTAATAAAAATATGACAAGAACTTCATAGGTAAGAACCATATCACAGAGGAAAAACGACCAGTTGCATCCTGTGCGCTACACAAATAAACACTGGCAGAGAATGCCAAGAAGTGTTGTATGTAGAGAAAATTCAAGACAAAAACTAACCCATGCACAGCACAAATGCCAAAGCCCTGGCACAAGGAACCTAGAAGTTGTGAATATAGTGGGAAAACTTTAGTAAAGAATCCAACAGCTGAAAGGCACAGACCAACTAGGAAAAGAGAAGATAACTCTGGTAGTCAGTTTGTAAAAAACCACACAAACAACTTACCTACATACACAAAGAGAGTTCACAAATATAGCATATTTGTTGCTGCATAATTGGAACACAAAGTCCTAAAGCTATCATGAGCAACTTATCTGAAAGTATAGGTCCCAACCTCTTCAGATGACTTGTGGCTGAGGCATGTCAGGACAAAATGCAAGGAAGGGTCTGGTTGGAGGGCATTGTTACAAGTCATGCTACCATTTGGTGGTGGTTGGTGGTAGTCACTTAATGTTAGTTACATAATTAGCTAGAGTGAAACTTGGCAACCTCAGAATTGCTAAGAAATGCTCGAGACAAGCTCTTGGGTTTAAAGAAAAACGTTTTCTGTCTACTTCTACAATGGTTCCAATTTCTCTCGAGTCTGCTTATTATCCGCGTGAACCAACATACAGTTTGACAAGTTCCCCACTGCATCAATGCAGGATGTTGACCTGCCTTGATTGCAGCATATTCTATCCAGAGGCGAGTATGATCTTGTCTTTGGGAGTGACTTGTTTAATAATACCTAAGAGCATATGAATACAACTACTGTATCTTAGATTTAAGACTAAACAAATTACCAAAAAGAATACTGTAACTACTCAATAATTTATGTAATGATTCAGCATAAAATTATATAAGATACTAAACAAAACTCACTTAACAAGAGCTTCCAGCACCTTGAGGTCTGTTAGGACACCGACCATATCAGGTGTGTAATACTCTGGCAACAAGTCCTCCATCAGAGCGTTCAGGAGCCAGAAGGTGCTCTCTTCATCTTTGGTGATAATCAACAACAGACCAGCAATGTAGTTGAGACCCTGTCAAAAATCACTTGACTAAATAACACAACCTTCACTATAATTCAAATTTTCTTTCAAAGACAGTTAAACTTAAAAGCCTCTTTAAGCAAAACATATTCCAAATGCCCAACAATTTTCTAAAATTATTAAAGCCCCTAAATTATTCACATGACATGCACCTAATAGTATATGCATGCCGTCTGTCTGACAGTTTTAGGACAAGCCCATTCAGTATTTGTTGAGAAATTCAGGACTAACATTATTAATACCTCCTTATTAACAATAAAAAACAAAAAACTGACAAGTCAAAAGTAACAACAAATTAAAATGAACAAATTGCGATTTGTTGCTCATCCATTCATGAATACTATCTAATTTTATAAAACTATATTTAAGAATATTGGAGAACTTAAATGCACAAACCTATTACATACAGAACAATACATACTGTCGACCAATCTCGACAAAGGGGCATAAATAAATTTGCTAAAGCTTAATGAAGCTATGCAAATTTTACTATACTGTAAGTACATCATTCAGTTATAACCATTACACCATATTGTAAAATTTCATATAGTTAATTGTACAAGGCTATGACTACAGACCAACAAACACACATCACTACAACTTTACCCATCATGCTCTGAAGAAAATGGGGGGAAAATAATTACTGTACAAGCTGTATATGTAATAAGCTTGGTTTTAACTTCTTACATACTATTCACTAGTCTAAAATCAAATAAGCCACATGATAATGTTTTAATATACGACTGATATTTTTATTCCGAGCAACATGGAATGAGAGAAAATACTGTATATAGATGAATGAAGGCATAAATGATGCCTCCTACTTTAGAATAAAATGCAACACAGTATAATTTAGAAGTAAATTAATTTACTGTATATTTATTGTAATATTATCTATATTTTTACTGTAACCAAGCAAAGTAACTTGGTAACTGGTTATGTATTTACCGGTAATTCTAAATGTTCATTTAGTAAATAGCAAGAGAATTTGTCAAGACAATACCAATATAAAAAAGCAAGAACTTACTTGGCAATAACCAATCTTTTTGTTGTGCTGTGAAAATGAGACTAGAACATTGTAAAGATCTGACAACTTTCCTTCATTGTAATCACGAAAATATATATTGTCTGGAAAGGTTCGAGGAACATCAATCTTTATGGCTTCAATTAACTCTTCATCCTGTGGATTCTCCAAGAGGCTCTTGTAGTAACCAGGATGAGAATTCATTTTTATCTTGGCACCACTCACTTCCATCCACATCTATATAAAGCAAACAAAATATTTGTAAATTTATAAATGCCTTAATTCAATTAAACTCGCATGTCAATTGGTATTTTTGACATGTGAGTATCAACAAGGTATTCAGATTTAAGTGTCCCATTTTAGATTTCAGTGTTCCCCCCTTCCCCATAATTCAATTTTTTTTCAGATCGTCTGAATCTCAGAAGGAAAGCTGGGGCGGTGGATTGGATACTCCATATTATTCAGAGGGATTCAGGATTCATTATATGGTGGTCTTGGAGGATGTACTGTACTATCTTGAGATGTTATCTTGAGATGATTTCGGGGCTTTAGTGTCCCCGTGGCCCAGTCCTCGGCCAGGCCTCCACCCCCAGGAAGCAGCCCGTAACAGCTGACTAACACCCAGGTACCTATTTTACTGCTAGGTAACAGGGGCATAGGGTGAAAGAAACTCTACCCATTGTTTCTCGCCGGTGCCTGGGATCGAACCCAGGACCACAGGATCACAAGTCCCGCGTGCTGTCCGCTCGGCTCCCTAACACTGTAAAAGAAAATCATGGGAGCAGGACGGGGATCGAACTAGTATCCTGGATAACCCCAGACATGCCTTTCTCATAGAAGTATCATGATTCTGTGATATCCTTGTGTATCTGAAGAGATCATTAAGTGGAGAACTCCATTACCTACACCAGTGTGTGTGCGGGTTATACGTAAACTTGGGTTTGCTACCAGCTCAGTGCCTCTTGATTACTAGTGAATCTGGGAGAATTCCAGGTTATATAACCTTTAATATATCGTGGTCCATGGGTTAAGGTGCATGTCTGGGGTTACCCAGAATGCTGGTCTGGTCCCCATCCTGCTCCAATGATTTTCCCATAAATATACTGTATCATATTATTGTGATTTCTTTCTGCACAAGTGTCAAAATTTTTTATTATTATTATTTTTACACACACCAGAAAATATAGCAAAAATACTGGTAGCAAGTCAGTACCTAAGTACAGTACAGATACCGGTATCTAAATATCTGATAAGCTTTATAAATAGCTATAGATACAGACTTCCCAAGAAGTATTGTTCTTACCTTTCCCCGATGTTTCATAGGGATCCCCTTTCTTACGTAACGCTTCACTTTTATTCCTCGCCCAACAGTTTCCTTTGCTCCCAGCAGGTGAGCCCATTTTCTTGCTCTTCGTGTTAATACTGTCAAATACTTTGACATGAACTCTTCATATGTTTGATAGTTGAAATCTGGAGGTCTCTCAAATCCATATTCATCAACATCACTGTTAAAGAAAATTAAGTATAAATCAATTTAATTTGATCCTCAGCAGTACTGTATTTACAATCTAATACTGTAGGTGTACCTGATCCAGAAGTTAGTGAGGAGAGAGTAAGCAACACAGACAATAAAATATTAATTTACCTGACCTGTTGTTGTTGAAGAGGCCAAGACATCACAGGTGTCTTGGCCTTGTGGTCTGATGTGTGGCTTGGTCATCATATCTTCAGCAACGGACTCATCGTCTGCATTACAAGTGTCATTTATGCCACGGCACTCCCATGTTGGGGAAAACTTAAAAGTTTTCTGGATACACATTACCTGCACTGGGAAACAACTTTGCCCTACTGTAGGTGAACACACTGTTCAGCAGGTACTTGGTGAATCCTGGATACCCCTGTTGACTACCTGTTGGAGATTCTGGGGATCAATATCTCTAGCCTGGTCTCCGACCAGGGCTCCTGGTTGCTGGTCTAATCCACCAGGCTCTTTGATGCGACTACTCAGAACCTGATTTATGAGTCATAGCCTGTGTCGATCAGGTATTCTTTGAAGATGCTTGTCGCCATGGGAAGGCAAGCACCAAAACCCACACATTGCACAAAGCACCAACAAGATTATCAATTGACATCATTACACCAAACAACAAATGTAGAGAATTGGCATCCTGGGAATTCTGGGTTAGAACATATTGGCAGAATTGCAAAAGTCCTACCTTAACCACCCACTGCACTGCGCAAAGCGCCTTTAGGCACTCCGAGAGGTGCAGGCGATGAGTCACAATAACGGGCTAAAGTATGTTGACCAGACCACACACTAGAAGGTGAAGGGACGACGACGTTTCGGTTCGTCCTGGACCAATTGACTTGAGAATGGTCCAGGACGGACCGAAACGTCGTCGTCCCTTCACCTTCTAGTGTGTGGTCTGGTCAACTCTGAAAAGTGCTTTTTTTTAATTAGGCTATATTTTAATGTTTTTTAATCTTTTCATTACTCTGTGTTTTGAAATGGAAATAGTTGAGTTTGGAAACATTTTGACATTAAATTTATCTGAATATTTATAAAAACAACAAAAACATGTCCTAGACAATTGCAATAAGAAGTTTTTGACAAAACCAGGTGCGCAGTGCAGTGGTTTGGTTCTCGTCAAGACGAGAAGGAAGAGGAAGCCAGAACGGCTTCCAGCAGAAGTGTGGTCAAATCGAACACAGGCCTGTTTTAAAAAGCTCATTTTCAGACTGTCAAAACTGCATGGATTGATAGGTTAGGATGTACAGTATTAGCTTAAGGTAGTGTGTGCTAGGCTCTGGTTATGTTATGTTGGGTTAGGTTAGATTGGATAAGGGTAGGTAGGTTTTAAATTTCATTGGTGAACTTCATGTGTACAATGTTAATTTTATCCATCTAGGGACCTCCAGGTAAAGAGCCTCACGCTGCTCACCACATTCCGAAGGCACACCCGGAGCACACCAAAGACCCACTAACCCCCAGTTCCTTTCAGCAAAGCTGGTACCAGACCCCCCCCCCCATCTCCCTACCTGAAGATTTAACAAAGAAACTGAAGAAATCGAATAAATATCATGTGACCCCTAAGTGGTAAAAGCTCCAGGAAGTGTGTCAGTTCAAGCTGTTGGAAAGGGAGGCATTACGGCAGTATCAAGACACAACGGAGGAAATATCGCGACACGTTGGCCAGCGTGCTTGGAGGCAGAAGATGAGAGAGAGAGGTGGCAGGAGGGTGGATGTTGTTGTTGTTATAGATTCAGCTACTCGGAACAGGTTCCAAGTAGCACGGGCTATGGTGAGCCCGTAACTTACCTGGCACAGGAGCGGGGCAAGTAGCACGGGGTATGGTGAGCCCGTAGTGGACTTACCTGGCACGGGAGTGGTGCCGTCTCTCTAGGAGGGTGGAGGGTGAAGGAGATGATGTACCTGATCCTGGAGTTAGCGAGGGCGGGCTGGGCCATCCTGGCGTGTTTACCTCCCTCCCTTCACCGTTCTCAACTCACATATATATTATTTATCTCTCTTCCTACACCCTCCGTTAACATTTATACAAATTTATAAAATTATAATTTGTGTGTAAAATATAAAATGTGTTGACTTTATTCCCCAAATCGCGACTTTTTCCGCAGCTGTCAAAACTTTTTAAGCGTTCATGAATGCTAAAAATTAAATGTTAATCGCGTATAAAATTGTATATTACTTTAGAATAAATGACTAGTTAGGCTGAGGGGGAGTTAAAGAGTGAGTGTATTGAGTGTGTAGTAAGCGTGATAAGAGTGTAGAGGTGTAGAAGAGGAGCAGTGATGGCGGCGAGCCCCTGCCAGGGAGGTGAGCAGTGATGGCGCCCACCGTCAGGAGCCGGGGAGGACCCCACACCAGGAAGGAGAAGGAACTCCTCAAGCGGCAGGCCAGTAGTAAAGAAGCGTAAGCACTAGCCCCGAGGGGCTCTGCTCTTCATCCCCTCCTTCTGCGTAGTCTTGCCCCTCCGTGGCTGCTGGGTCTGGCCGGGCTAGCTATGGGGGTCAGGCCGGCTCTTTGGTTTGCTGTAGGCCTACTCTAGTTTGCTGTAGGCTTACTCTAATTTGGTATAGGCTTACTCAAATTTGGTGTAGGCCTACTCTAGTTTGGTGTAGGCCTATTGTTTGGTGTAAGCCTACTCCAATTTTTCAGTGGCTATAGTGACTATTTGTAAGTACTGTACATGCATTAAGGCCAGTGCATTTTTGTCTTGCTGATATTCAGGCAATATTATTTTCATGTATCAAGTCATATTTTAACAAATCATAAGTTTTAACTAATGGTACAAAAAAATTATGTCCCAAGCTGAGAAATTTTTACATTTTAAAGAATGTAAGTCCTTAAGATTACCGAAGGTAAGGATGGTGAAGATTATGGACGGAGACTCGTGGGGTTGTGAATGGTGTCGGTACAGACTGATGATGTATTAAGTTATTCTGGAGTGGATATAATGTGAGGCCCTACTTAGAAGGTGTATGAAGTAGGACGATGTAGTAATTACCTAAGTGTAGTTACAGGATGAGAGCTACGCTCGTGGTGTCCCGTCTTCCCAGTACTCTGTCATATAACGCTTTGTAGCAGTGCAATGATATTGGTTTGTGTGACTCCAAGTAGTGCAATGCCCCCATAGGCTTATTAACTATCCCAATGAACCAAGTAGAGTTATGAAAGTTCCCAAGAATAGCCATTCTATGTCATTGTTGCTCTTTAATTTTTAACCTAATGAAAACTTGAATTATTTTTTTTTCTGTACTGTGTGAGGTGCTGTCAGGTTGCCTACGGTAACCTCGTGGCTCACTACTGGACGGCAGAGCACACTGTGGAGCCGTGTATTTAACATTCATAATCCTTAGGTTGGCTGTAGGCTCATACATAGTTCAGTTGATTTTCAAGTTACTCTTTAATTAAAAAAAAACTTTGTGTTTGCCAGTGGGATACGTTTCTTATTTACGTTTTGATACGCAGTACACATACTGATAGAGTAGTACACATACAGTACTATTTGTGGAAGTATAGGAACTAAGGCTAAGTTAAATAATATAATACAAAATTAACTTGCATAATTTATAGGCTATGCAGGCCATGATTTAAATAATTCATAATAATAATTAATTTGCAACTACTTCACTGTCTGAATTTGCATTATGCAACTAATGAGATCTTTTATAAGAATTATTTTTTGTTATACTGTACAGTATATCAAGTCCAGTTATCAAATTGCTAGCGAAGACTTCTCACACCTTCCAGGCTTCCTGTCCCTGACAAGGTTGCTGAAAACATTGGCCGACGAGTAAGTTCCAGGTACAGTAATTATGCCATTCGTAATTAATTGCCAGCTGGTGTTTGAGTAATTAATTAACCTTTAAACAAATAATGGGCGTAATGAATTATTGTAATTGATGAATTTGTTGACCCAGTAGCTGACCTAGTTACCTGTAGTTTGGTAATTGTGTTTTGAGTTTAAATGTTTTTTTTATAATACCCTGTTTTAATGTCAGCAACTTGTCATAGAACTCCAGTTTGTTAAGCACATTTCCTATCCCTAAAGCCATTTTGGTGCATGTTTACAAATTTCATTTTGTCTAAATGTTCCACTAGTTTTATCAGTCTTATTTTATCAAGTACTTTGTAGTGTATGGTCATCATTGGCATTGCAATTTAGCACCTCCTTCCTGTCCCTTCTCTTGTATATTGGTATCAAATTGGCCATCTTCCAGTTGCTAGGTAACATTACCCTTGCCAGTGAATTGCAAATATCAGTGCTAGAGGTATCCTGAATACCAGTGAAGCTTCATCAAACAGCCATGGCAATGTTTTTTCCGGTCCTACAGCCTTCATCTCGCCTAATAAGCTACCTGTATTTGCCTCCTTGCCTCTTTTGCTTATACCTGTACAGTACCTCAATTTTGCCAGCATGTCACCTGGGGTTATCTCCTCTTTAACCACACACAGCTATTCCAGCTCAGTTGTGAATTCCTTGTATTTACAATAGTTACGGTACTTAAATTTTATTGTAATTTTGTGTGTTCTCTTCCCTGTTGAGCCTAGTCAGGTCACATGATCATTTGTTATAATTCTCCTTGTAATGTAGCAATGAGCAACTTTGGTTGTTTCTTGGCCTTAGATGCAATGTAATTTTTCTTAGCTTTATTAGGATTCTCTTCTGATGTTTGTTTATTTCTAACCCTGTTGCATCTGTTTCGATTTTTTTTCCTTATTGCTTCTTGGTATGCAATAAGAAAAAAATATATATACCCCCATTATTCCTTAATGATGGTATTGTATGTACATATATCTTCTCAGCCTTTACATTTTCATTTGACTACTTGCATCACTTCTTAAACTGACATACGTAACCCCCTTCACCCCCTCCCAATTTCTTTCTCACATTGCACATTCCCCGGATACTCTCATATTTTTGTGCAATTTCTTCTCAGTAGTGTAGTCTACTCTCTTTTGCTCTCAAGACTTTTGTCTTTAGGTTTTAGTTCTATCATATAGGCAAAGACCTGGAAAGCTGCACTAAACCTAACGACCATATGCGGGAAAAATTAATAAAATTGAACAAAATTCATATGTTTAATTTGACTTAAAAAATTTGCCTTTTTTTTAAATCATTTCTATGTTTACAATGAAATATACAGTACTGTACTTAGATAATTATATAAAAATCTGCATAATTTATTTTAGGAAGCAGAACAAGGAACATGCAGGAGCCAATGTCGTGGGTGTCGTGGAGCCCTGGACACCTGGCTCATACACAGCCCTCAAAGCCTTACTCTCAGCCCGTCTATGTGCTGCCATATGGGCTCTGATTAACGATTGTGATGAAACGTACAACTATTGGGAGCCTGTAAGTATTCTTGTCTGCTTTATACTGTACTGTCCCTTGATTTTCAATTAAAAGTAAATTTTGTAGTCATTATTTTATATTATACAGATGTAGTACGTTTATATTTTTAAAAAGGACATGTATAAAATTGTCATTGTATGATCTAACAAGTGTGTTACATATTTTTGGACGAAATTCAGTGTCAAAATGTATGATCTAATAAATTGCTTAATGGTTAATTTTGTTAATTTATTATGCTCCCCCATACCTGTTGTGTGAGTAGAAGTGCAAAAGGATAGAGGAAAGTACAATAATGGGTTCAGGAACTGAACCCCCAAAATTTAAGCTAGGCAAGTTAAAGAAACTAAACATCATCGTGTTTGATGCTCTAACACAGAATGAGAGTTTGTTAGTTGAGCCAACTGCATAACAAAATTTTGACCTATCATGCACTCCCCACACATCCAGTAGATGTCAGTAGAAAGGTCACAATTGCCTATATGCACTACCTACAATTTATAGTAGTAGATAATTTTGAATGAAATGCTTACACCACATGGATGTCTGTAGTGTTTGCACAGATTGAAGGCTGTTCCCATACTTTTAGAATAACCTACCTGATGGAGTGCTCTAGTACAATGTGTCAGCATTGAAATACCTGTACTGTACTCTACAATACTAATAAGGCGAGTAAAAGCTGAGGACAGTAGAGCTCTAGAAAGACCTTGACAAACACAAGGAGTGGGGTAGACATGTTGCTGTTATTTCAACTGCAACAAGTGTACTGTAAGGTAGTGAAGGTGGAGAAATGGTCAACAGGAGATAGAAGGAATTGACACCATGAGGAAATGGCACCTATAGGAAATTATGCAATAATTACACAATTATCAAATGCACACACTAACAAGGTAACTGTAGCAGAATATGAAGAGCAGGCAAACACGAAAAGGAAATCTTAACCTCGTGCACCACAAAAAACCTGAAGAGTGCGGGCTATTGTTGTACAATATAAGTATAAGGGCAGTAGTGTAAGTATGTGGGATGGGTACACCAGTGAGGAAGTATATGGTGGATGCAGCATAAGTGAAAAAGGTTTGATGGAATTAAATGTGACTGTGCAAGTGGGTGAAACATAATGGTCATATTATAAGTCACTAAAATGGTTTAACACGAAGGATGTACAAGGGTGAAATGAAAATATCATACAGTAGAGGTAGACAACCAGTATCTTAGAAGGGAAAACAGAATAATATGTATACAAAAACAGTGAGGGGAGGGGGAGGGGTCAGAGTTTGAATGAATAAAAGTTTGTGTGGTAGCCAGCCCCTGGGGGATGGGGGCACTTGAGAGGGAGCAAGGCATTGTCTATTGATAGAAAAATAGAGGTTTGTAACATGACTAGTAATTTACTTAAATTAAGACAACTTAAGCATATAAGGATTGGTTAAGAATACTGTACTATCTAACAGCTGTTGAGGAGAGAATAAGCATACTGCATATAATTACTACATACAAGATATTGAATGGAATAAAAAGTTAGGCAAGGACATGAGGACATCAGTGAAAGCTATAAACTCAAACTAATCAAAAATGGAAGGAAGCTCTCGAGCTCTGTGCGAGTGCTCAAAAGTGGAGTGCACTGAAAAAAGTAATGGAAGTCATCCCTATCCACAACTTGAACAAATATGACAGAATTTGAACATTAGGAGTTTTAAGAGCTAACCATATACAAAAAGCTAGGAAGTGAGGATAATAAAGAGTTGTGGACAAAAGCACACAACATTGCATTAACCACTTAGTAATTCTGAAATGGAAATTTAATACTGTAACTTCAGAAATGGATTTTTCAGCCAGGCTGTTGTTATTGTTGGCTTGCAGGCTATAGAAACCTGGTTATTAGGTAGTCGCTAGGAATCTAAACTGAGATTTAAAATTAAAAGTAAGTAAAACAAAAGCATGCATTTAAAATACACTGAATATATCTGCAGTGTTACATACTGTACTTGAATCAGTTTCCTATACATTATTCCCATAAATACCACGATTGTACCTTTCGTAACAGTTTTCTTTTAAAGTTGGACTTGAGTAACAGGTAGTTTCTTTGTAGTTAGTTTCAGGAATCTATATTAGCAGTTTCTTGATGCTTTATTGTATTCTGTAGTGTGTTATTCTTAATAAATAATATTTAATTCAATTTTCTCCTAGACACACTTCTTGTTGTATGGAAAAGGATTCCAAACGTGGGAATATGCTCCTCAGTATGCCCTCCGCTCCTACACCTACATCCTCATCCATGCAGTTCCTGGCTGGATATATTCCAATCTGTTGCAATCGAACCGCATGCTTGTATTCTTCTTTATACGGTGCATGCTGGCCTTGGGCTGCTCAGGCTGTGAACTCTACTTTTACAGGTAATTTATAAGATTACTTGTACTTGTAACTACATTAATTTAGTTTATAACTCTTTTTCAAGTAGTACAGTACTGTACTTTATGAAAATAGCTGCTGCCGCCTCGAATAATAATATTAATTTCAGTATTCAGGAAAAGATCTTGTATAGTTTTCCTCAATATTAATAAGGTCACTTAATGTTTTCATGCTAGTTCTCCTACTCGTCCAATGCCTCCCCATTTTATAGGGATGTTGGCATAGCTTGTACATTCAGTCTATAATTGTCACTGTCTTGTATTAAAATTTCTGCTAGCATCTTGTCTGTATTTGCCACATTTTTGGGATGTTAATTTAAATTGTGGTATTGCTGATTTTAAGATAATTTCTTTGGGGGTGGGGGGGACAGGATGCCTGTGCACGTATATACATTAGGCTTACATCAAGGTTCCCCCCCCCCTCCCCCCAAGGTCGAAATACTGACTCTTCCCTGGAAGCAGTGCCATGATAGTTGACTAACTCCTGAATACCTGTTTACTGTTAGGTGAACTGGAGCATTAGATGAAAGGAAACGTGCCCAACTATTTCTGATTTGCCTGGGATTCGAACCCGGGATTCCCGATTATGAATCGAGAACATGCCCAACTGTACTGTACTACCGAGACCTTCGTACAGTATTATGAAATACAGGGCTGTACAGTACTTTATTGGCTTGTATTTTCCCAGCACCCTTTTTTATTTTAATTACAATATGACATCATCTTTATAAATACATTACATAATTTTAATTGTTTTTTTTTACTGCATTTGCTTGTGGTTTAAGGCACAATCAAGCATTCAGAATCTGAAATGATTAGGGGCCAAGCTCATTGTGAATGTTATATTTTCTGATTCTCAGTCAGGCTTTGATGGCCATGTAGACAGCACAATCATACATGTAACTGGTAATGTATGCAGACGAGGAGTCACAATAACATGGCTGAAATATGTTGACCAAACCACACACTAGAAAGTGAAGGGACAACAACATTTCGGTCTGTCCTGGACCATTCTCAAGTCGATTGAGAATGGTCCAGGATGGACTGAAATGTCGTCGTCCCTTCACTTTCTAGTGTGTGGTTTGGTCAACAACTGGTAATGTAACTTGTAGAATTTGTTTTACAAATTTGTTTTAACACTTAAATATTTGTATGCACTGAGGTGAAGGAATAATAATGCACTAATGTATATATTGTATTGTCATTTTGTCATCTTACAGCAGCTTCTGTAAGCATAATTATTCAGCATTCTATTGAAAAATCATTACAATTTATATTCCATTACTTCCCCTTTTTCCTGTTTGTTGGAAAAGGGATGTATTTTGTTTGTAGTGCTCAATAGAGGTGCATTCTGCACACTGTATTAACCATAACAAAAAACAAAATCAGTAACATATTGGTGTTTTATATTTTTCAGAGGAATATGTAAGGAATTTGGAGCAAATGTTGGCAGGGTGACACTGGGCATCTTGGTATTTTCTGCTGGCATGTTTATTTCCTCAACAGCATATCTGCCCTCCAGCTTTGCTATGTAAGTTTTCTGTGTGTTTAGTAAGGGCAATTACCTATCAAGGCGTCTAATTTGCTATTTTTCTCTTGTGTAGTAAAGGTCACCTCAGATCATACCTAACTTGCTGTTATAATAATTTGATTATACCACAGTATAAGGTACAGTACAGTACCTATTACTGTAACCTACTGTACCAGAAGGTACAGTAGTTTATTTCATTTAAAGTTTGGGGATTAACCATTGATTAAACAACTATTTAAATGTACTGTACTATATCGAGGTGTGCATGGCTACAAAATATTAATAAATCAAATGTGAAAAGTCACTAAGGACAATTGGAGCACAGGAGGAAATTGGAGATAGCAATTGGAGCAGTGTAGGTGTTAAGTGGTACCTTCCCTCGAAGGCACTAACACACAAAATATTCTGGGAACAATGAATCAAATGAGTATTAGGATTTGAATAATAATGGCTGAATTACAATACACACACAAGTTGTAAGATACAGTATTAGAATGCTCTAGTGTGGGTTTAGTAGAAATGGAGAAGTATAGAGTTCCTTTTGTGATTGTTGTATAAAAGTTTGCTAGTACCTGTAATTTGAAAAAAATGTATAACCTATTATTATTCCATACAGAACAGTGCAATCTCAGAAGTCCATACAATATACAAAATACAATAGTGGAAACTTTAAAATTCTGGTGTGATTTAGTCGATAGAACCCATATTTAAAATTTCGGAACAGGGACCAACGCTTTTAAATAGAACCATCCCAGTATCACTGCTGTTAGTCGATCATATTAAAAAAATATAAAGTTTACTATTTTTTTACCTTATATAGTAGAGAAAATATCATTGAAAAAAGTTTCAAAATATATTTCTGTAATAGTGGTGATGTACATTTTTTTCACTTGCCTGGTACTGTAAAGTACCAGTATATCTCTTACTGTAGTTGAACACAGTCTCCATATTAAAGAAGAGAGAATCTAAATTTGGGTACGTCACAGCCGATTACTGTATCAAGAAGTAACTTTTAGGAACGTGTAACAAAGAAACGGGTAACAAAGTAAGGTCAGGAGTTATGCTTTTGTAAAGTGAGAAAGCTGGCATGTCAGGTAAGTCAAATAAATTCCCCACAAAATTTACTTAATTTCCTGTTTATAACTGTACATGTAATTATATATAATGTAATAAACCTCTTATGTTTGTTTTAGGTACATGACATTGATGTCTATGGGAGCTTGGTATCACCAGTCTTATGAGCTTGCCATATTTACTACAGCCGTGTCAACCTTCCTTGGCTGGCCCTTTGCTGGAGCTATAGGGTATGTTGGATTTATTTCTGAAATGGTTTACATTGCATATTTCTGCATGCTATCTTTGGCAATTAAGGTTTAGTAATGGATAACTGTTAATCGTTACATCAAATTCCCCATTTTCCTTTTTCATGGACTGTTAGGCATGATCCCAGAAGAAATAAGAGAGTAAATATAAGAATAATAGATAATAAAAAACACATCATCAGCTGTTCCCTTCTCCCCCCCACCCCCCTACGCCCAACCACTTGGATTGGACGGTACAGCGACGGTCTCGCTTCATGCAGGTCGGCGTTCAATCCCCGACCGTCCAAGTGGTTGGACACCATTCCTTCCCCCTGTCCCATCCCAAATCCTTATCCTGACCCCTTCCCAGTGCTAAATAGTTGTAATAGCTTGGTGCTTTCCCCTAATAGTTTCCTTCCTTCCTCCTTCCCCCCCCCCCCCCCCCCTCCTCCCTATATCATACTCATGGCATAAAACCCAATAGTAATACTCCAGCATTACATCTACATGAGCACCCCTTCCCTCCCTTTACATACAGTCAAGTGTAAAGTGCCTCCTGTGAGTTACTGTACTTAGTGTCATCCTTTTGCTCTTAAACTAATTCCCATAACCTTATTCCCATTTATTCCCTACACCTTCTTGAGTGGCATTCACACCCAATCCCTACTCACTTACTAATAATATCTGTCAGTTTTCTTAGCGTTCTTCTTCTTATCATCCTTTCTTCAAATTTACTTTTTTTATCATCCAATCATTTTTTTTTTTTTTTTTTTTTTTTTTTTTTTTTTTTTTTTTTTTTTAGATATATACAAGAGTTGTTACATTCTTGTACAGCCACTAGTACGCGTAGCGTTTTGGGCAAGTCCTTAATCCTATGGTCCCTGGAATACGATCCCCTGCCGCGAAGAATCGTTTTTTCATCCAAGTACACATTTTAGTGTTGCGTTAAACAGAGGCTACAGTTAAGGAATTGCACCCAGTAAATCCTCCCCGGCCAGGATACGAACCCATGACATAGCGCTCGTGGAACGCCAGGCGAGTGTCTTACCACTACACCACGGAGACTGCTTGCGTCTCAATATGACCCAACCACTTTGATAAATTCCCCCTCAGTCCTGCGATTAACCAAAACTTGTAATCCACATTTTACCAAACATTTTCATTCCTTACTTTCTATCCTTCTAACTCTACAAATGTATCTCAAATTGAGCATTTCAAAAGTATTAACTCTTAATTTTTCATTCTAATGCCTTGCATCTTGTTTTTGCTAACTGCAACCTGTAGCACTACTTATTTCACATACTATACAAACTTTCTCCTCTCCCTCTCTCCACCACTAGTAATTTACTTTTTTCCCCACATTCACTTTTAGCAGACATTTTTTACATACATCACCAAAACTTCTAGTTTGCATATATCCCCTATCATATTCTCCTAGAAGTTCATCTTTATTTTTATATAAAGTTTCAGTCATTGCTTTTTATAATTATCTAGCACAGTACCAGTTCCCCATGCGTTCAAATAAATATTACACACCAATTCCATTCAGTTCTCCCCGCTGAAGCTCATCATTTCTGCATGTATCTTTTTCAATGCCTTCACCATTCCAGTATTTCAGCTTCTGAACTGATGTATTAATTTCTTCACATGAAAGTCAAATGAGGTATTTTGTCTTGCCTCTTCTGACACCTATGAAATGAACTATGTTTACATTTGCAAATATTTTACCCTTCAATAACTTGTATAGCTTATCAACGTATAAGTAGAAATGTACAAAAACATCTATGAATATAGTTTTTGAAATTGAATAGTGACTTCCTCTTTTGTGAACAGCTATTAATATATGCCCATGTATATGGGTTATATTTGCAGGATTCCAATTGCTTATGACATTGTGTTTCGAAAGAAGCAAGTTATGATGTTCATCAAATGGTGCATCATCTCTGCTGGTACAGTTTTGGTATGTATGTCAACATTATGGACTGTATGATTACTTGCATAAGCAGGTATCATATGTAACCTGTGCGTTTCTGAAGTGCAGAGGAGAAACTGTTAATGAACATTCATTTTATACAAATTCACAATAACAAAGTCCTCGAATTAAAACCTGGGGCTCAGTAGCCTTTCAGGTTCACTTTATTTTGCTAATCACTTAGTGAAATTAAGACCATGTTTTCACAAAACAAAGCAGAATTTAGTCATTTGAATAAAGCCAATAGCTGTACATACTTACCTAGTTATATTTGTGGGAGATGAGCCATGGCTTATCATGGTGCGCAGGCTGGAAAGGCACATGCCAATCTGTAGATGTTTGCTTACCTGCATGCTTCGTCGTGTGGGATGTAAAGTGACAAATGAGGCGATGCAGGCGATGAGGCACAATAACGTGGCTGAAGTATGTTGACCAGACCACACACTAGAAGTTGAAGGGACGACGACGTTTCGGTCCGTCCTGGACCATTCTCAAGTCGAAACGTCGTCGTCCTTTCAACTTCTAGTGTGTGGTCTGGTCAACATGAGCATTTTTACACAGAATTTTGGTATGGAGTCGGTTGCAAATGATAACTTATCGCTAGGATGTTACTGTTTTTCTTTTGCAATGCTTTGTTTTCTTTCAGATACCCATGATTCAGATCGATTCTCAGTACTTTGGACGTTTAGTGATTGCTCCACTCAACATTGTGGTGTACAACATCTTCACTTCTCATGGCCCAGACTTGTATGGTACAGAACCATGGACTTTCTATATCTTCAATGGTTTCCTCAACTTTAACATTATATTTTTAGCAGCACTAGCTTCACTCCCTGTATATGTAAGTAACTTGATATCAGATTCGTTTAATAGTGTACCGGTATTTAAGATGAGCAGACCAAAAAGATTATAAACATTTTAGTGTCGCCGCGCGGTCGCCCAAAACAAATGGCAACTAAACTAGATAGTATACAGTTAACTCCCCGGTGCGCGAAAGTGTTAAAATATAACTATTGTATTTATTTTACCGAGAGTACCTGTAAAATACTGTAGTGTATGTGGACAAAGGACTTTTATGAAGTGGATGTGATTTTAAACCGTGTAGCCAACTTACGTCAGAAAACATAACATTGTAGTTTGTTAAAACAAAAATTGTACAGTAATTAGGAAAGACAGTATTAGTTTTAGGTACAGTAATTGGGTTCCTAAAGTATGGTGCCTTTTAAAGAAGTTTTAAATGTAGATAATGTTCAAAAGTTTCCTTTGACAAGTCATCTTTCTAGTAAAAGTGCAGTTGTGGCGCTTAACATTTTTGTTATTTGTGTAGCAATTTGTCAATTTTGTCCAATTATATGAACAGGTGGATATCAAGATAAATTTTTCTTAATGTTCTGCTATACAGTACTTTTGTTGTAATTTCCGAGTCAAGGCTCCTTGGATGCTCCCTGAGCCAGAACCTTTATGGTCCACCCAGGACTCCTTAACATCCACCAGGCTCTTGTGACCTTTAGTCCCACCATGATGGGTATCTGTAAGTGATCCTCTCTCATTTTTAGGGAACGGAATCTAACTCAAGCCACTATTGAATGGCCAATTTGCTATGATATACAGTAAAGGAATAAATCACAAACCTCAAACACCCCCCCTTACAGTACAGTGCTGTAAGTGATAATAGCAGTTTTTAACGCAGTGCAGATTACTTTTTTGTTGAATAAAGCTACACTGGCAGTCATCATAATAGAAAGGTTATGTGAACTGGGAATATCCACTTAAACTCCAAACCATCCAACCTCTCAAGAGATAGGACAAGGGTCAGAATGAGAGAATCTCATGACCCCGAAAAGAACATTTCGTTAATCTCGAAAATTGTTTTGGCTTGGGTCCCTCAGATACTCCCTGAGCCACCTCTCTCTATTAAAACACATGAAAAGTAACCCAAAAAAGGCAATTTACCTTAGCAGGAAAACAAAGAATCAAGAGCCACAGGAAAGAGAAGCACTTGTCAGCAATGACCGCCACCACCATGCACCAAGACTGGACTTGGACCATGGACCAAGATTCCATGCCTGGAGAGAAGTGCTGTTCAAGGTTCCAGACTGTAGGGAAAGAGTACCTACTCAAAGCATATGTAGAAGTAAAAAGAGGTATGTCCCAAGGTGTGGACCAAGCAATAACAGCACAGAAACCGAGTGCAATGCAGTAATCTTTCATAACCTGACTGCTATAAATAACCTGTTACATGTTGAGGTATCTCAAGAATGTTCTGTGATTTGCATCCATACTAAGCTTGAGAACATCTTATGTAGTGCAGGGGTTTAATATATCTAACATTTTATACTTGAATCAAGTCACTACCAAGATTGGAACACAATACTACATCCAATATATGCACATCTACAAAGGAAAAATTTTGAAAATTCAAATTAGATAATCAATTTGCACATTAGAGAAGGGAAGAAATCTTAATGAACTGAAAATTAAATAATTGTCTGAAAGGGTGAAAAAGTTGCTATACAAATAAAATAAGCAATAAAAATATTTTTAAGGATATGAGTAAAATGATAGAAGCACAAATGGAGCAGAGCAGGATAGAATGCCTAAGTATTGCATGCTAAATGCTGTCAGGTAAAATAAATCTGGACTGACATAATGTATTTCAGAAATGGTAGTTTAGAAGTACAGTGCTGTACAGTATAACTATGCAAGTGCAGTACAGTATATACAGAATTGGATGAGTGTACACTAGAGTGTACATATTGTACAGTACTCTAAAAAAATTTACCTAAGGCAATTTGCTTAAATCTGAAAGAATCTGCATACATATGAGCAGTTAAATAATACAAGCATCCAGTTATAGATTCAATTTAGAAACCTATTTTTTGTTTACCAGCATTTTATTAATAATATTTCACATACAGGGCGTGATGTCATATGTGATGCAACTACCAAAGAAGAATAGTGCGTATCTTCCCTTGTGGTTGAGCCTGTCTCCCATGTACCTGTGGCTGAGCATCTTCATGTTGCAGCCACACAAGGAGGAGCGCTTCCTCTTCCCTGTGTACCCTCTCTTCTGTCTCTCGGGAGCTGTTACTGTTGGTAGGAAGAGTTGTCTTATGAGCAGGTTTTTCGAACTTACAAAACTTTGCTAACTTTCATTCTTGTATGGATGATACTTTAAGTCTTTTGTGATGATTGAAGCTTTTTAAGATAAAATGAGATGGATGATCTGTCAGATATTTTCTATTTGTTCTGTTTGTATTTTGCAGATTGCTGTCAGAAGCTGTGGTCATTACTCTTGACAGTAAAGCGCCAGCACTATTTGAATCACACCAACTGGCTTGCCCTCACTGTTGTCATCATCACTTCCACACTTGGTGTTTCACGCATTGTTGGCCAGTATAGAGGTAACATATATATTGTACAAGGTTTTTTTCTGGTTTCAATGTTTTTCAATGATTCCCTTCTATTTCCTGTTTATATATATATATTTTATGGAAATTTTCTTTGTTTTAACACTTTATATCTTCTTTTTCAAGCACATAATTTTGTGTGTTAAGAACTATAATGAGTTGAAAAGAGTATAAAGTGCTGATAAGGATGTAGAGAAACACCATTTGGTAGTAGATTTCATTAATGATGGTGATTCACCTGTAACTGACCTAAAATCAATATTCTATGAAGTCCTTACTGGCAAAATTTCATTTTCAGTAAATTAAAACTTCAATTTAAACTAGCGTTTACATGCAATACTTACTGAATTAGCACAGAAATTCTTCCGCAATTTTCATTCCATGAAACTGAAACCTGGACAATTCTTATGCATTTTTAAAGTTTACAAATTTTGTGTTGTATTAAATGGTTGTAGTAACACACCAGTTTATTTAAAGTCACATGGCTATTACCATTTTATTTTTATTTTTATAGCATGTTAACCCAAATTATGTACTGTACCAATTCAATTTGTCCTGCAGCATACCATGCACCACTAGAAACCTTCATGGAGTTGAATCGGCTGGCAGCCGAGGAAGGCTTTCCGTCAGACCGCACCATTAATGTGTGTGTGGGCAAGGAGTGGCACAGGTTTCCCTCGTCTTTTTTTCTTCCTGGCTTAAAGTGAGACATGTCATGTTTTCATGTTACTTTTTAACTATGTATAGTATGTTTTGATATTCTTTGTTAGCAGTATGTTGTATTTTTGTTTTAATTAATCTTCTTGTAAGCTTCATCTATACACAATGTTTTGTCAAGTCCTATTTTCACAAATAGATTTCTTTTTGGCCTAAGATTTCCTTAAAATGGGTACTTTTATATCTCATCTTGCAGATTAATAATCTTCATTCACAATTCTATACTGGACAAATAATTTTTCAATAAACTAAGGAGATCCTTACTTGGTATTTAGAAGGCATTTTGACCATGATGTACACTGTACAGTGAGAACATTAAAAAAATATAAAAGTGTAAATTTGGTACGTACAATATACAGTAGATCCTGGGTTCTTGACAGTGGGACTATGACCACTTTTGTGTGGGGTAAAAGTCTAGTGTTAACTGTAATGGAACACCTTTCTGGTGAGTCCTCTCTGTATCTCACCAATTACCCACCTGGGAGTCCTCCAAACCTACGTATCACACCAGGCTCTTAACAAATCATGAGGGGCCTACTGGAGGCAGGACCAAAATCTGGCTTCTTCAATAGAGGCATAAGGGAGTAGGAATACAAGATCAACCATAGTAATGTACTGAAGAGAAAACCACCAGAAAAGCAACTGCTCGGACAACATTTGTAACCGTATATCAAACTATGTACACATTGTCTAGGTCCAACTGCTAGTTAATGCCACACCTTTGCCACCAGATGGCAGCCTCAGTGAGAGGACCCTGGGCAGCTACCCCAGTAATTTATGTACCGCTCAAGCAAGACTCCCTGAACAACAAAGGAAGGGAAGGGTGGGAATTGGGAGATACAGTTGGTTGATCATCCTGGTTGATCAGATCTGCAACCTGAAGTCCTGGTCAGAGACTGCGCCGTAGGGACATTGATCCATGAAATTATCAACAGGCTGGTAGGTGTACAGAGGCAACCCAACGGAAAGAGGTGATTTATTACATTAAATGCTGGATTTCTGGGAGAGCTTCCCTTTGTATTTTCACCGAGCTCTTTTAGTATGAAAAGGAAGACAACAAACAGAATGATTGGTGAAATGAAGAGGGTGCAAGAGAGTCAGAAGACATGAACCCGCACAATTGCCCAGGTCAAAGAATCCAAAGAAGTGGTCAGTACTGCAAGCAGCAGACTCGGTCGACCTGCAAAGAGCAGGAAAGCAAATGAAAGCACCCAGCAAGCCAGCAAGAAAACTGAGAGCTGAAATAAGGAAACAAGGATACAGGCCCAACAAACAGTGAGCCTACTTGAACATCGCCGTTGGAACACAGGAAACGGAGCACCTCCCCCCAACAGCCAGAGGTGGCTGGGCAAGGGGTTTTCCAGTAATCCAAGTCTTATAACCAAGAGAGCCCTTAGGCACACTCATGGTTTTTGTCCAGTGTGTCACCCAGTAAGACAGTGCAGGCTGAAGGAACCAAGACCCAGGACAAAGGAAGACATTTCTATTTATTTATTCATATTTATTATTGTATAAACATTTCTTTAATGAAAATACATTGATAGTTATTGTGCTTGCACATTGAAATTGTATGACTGGGATCATGTGTGTTTAGCAAATTCAATACTAGTTTGTAGGTGTTGTACTGAATACTTACTGTGCATGATGTTGAAAGACTTGGAACACATTAGTATGATAATCTTTTTATCAACAGTTGGAATCTTCAGTTCATTGAAAGTGAATTCAGAGGTCAGTTACCAAAGCCCTATTCCAAAGAAGCCAATGGGACTAGCATTATTCCTGATAAAATGAATAATGCAAATATTGAGGAGAAATCCAGATATGTAAGTATTGAAAGTAATATAGTATGGCATATATTGATTATATATATGTTACTTGCCACTTCTATTTCACCAAATAAATTAGTTATGTAAATATGAGATACTGATACTACTGTTTAGTTTAATTAGTGGAGGAGGAGGAGAGGGAAGGAAGTCTGGGGAAGATTGTTGAGAGATCTTGTTAGTGTGTCAGAAATGGGGAGTAGTTATGAATAGTCAACATGGTCCCTATGTTTCTCCATATGTTTGTTTCCTCACCCTATGAAAGAGAAAAATTGGTTGATGTTCATTATAAATAGATAATATGAATTCTGCATACAGTACTTGTACATACTGTATTCCCGTACAGTATATAAATATATCCAATGTGCTGCTGTATATATTTATATATATATACAGTTCAGTATCTAGAAATGTATACATTTGTATGCATGTTTTGCTCGATATTTTGGGGTATGTATGAGTACCAATTTGAAAGTCATGCAATGTGTGTAAAATATTTTGTAATTTTTTCAGGTGTCACTGAGCAATTGCCACTTTCTGGTAGACCTGGACAGAGAGGAGGAAACGGCAAGAGAGCCTCGTTACTCAAAACGCACTTCGGAGTGGACTGTGCTGCTTACTGTACCGTTCATGGATGCTGCCAGGTAAATAACCTTGAGGATAAGTTGCTAATATTAGACAGTTATATCATGCAATTGGTAAAGGAAATATCTTAAGACGGTAACATGAAAATTGACCAATTTTAAGCAATTATACAGTATAATGCTACAACCCATCCTCCAAATGGACAGTACAGTTTAATACTAAGTGTAATAAGTACATTTCCTTACTGTCATACATAGTACATAATTGCACTTAAGGGCTGTTACATTTACCTCCCCATTTATTTTCCTCATTTTTGATTAAGACACTTAGAATTTTAGGATGAAGTTATCAAGTTCAATTTGCTATACATAAGTTTTAAATATCAGGAATTTCTTTTTCAGTTTTATTAAACAATAGAGATTTTATACAAAATTTGAAAATATCCTGAGTTACTTTATAATTTATTGATATATTTTAGTTTTATTTTATTTGTTTTATAAAACTGTAATATCAATATAGCTATAGGTTAAGTACTAATTGTAATTAAGAAGCAATAAAATGCTTATCTTCAAACACTAAGAAGGTTAGGTTGTGGTTTTCTACTCAGCTTTTCAGGTAAATTCAAATATTCACAATATATTTGACAGTACAGTTTAATACTAAGTGAAAATAAGTACAATTCCTGACTGCTATGAACAGTACGCATAAAGCGACGGTCTCGCTTCACGCAGGTCGGCATTCAATCCCCGACCATCCAAGTAGTTGGACACTATTCCTTCCCCCGTCCCATCCCAGATCTTTATCCTGACCCCTTTCAAGTGCTATATAGCCATAATGGCTTGGCGCCTTCCCTTGATAATTCATTCATTCCTTCCCCATTTTTGGAGGACGGGCTGAATCATGAAATAGAAAATGGTGCATGCACATATACTGAATATCAAAGTAGATAATATATAAAATAGTTATTAGTGATGTAATAATTTTAGTAAATAATATCTTTGTCTTCAATACTATTTTCAGAATTCCATTTCAGATCTCATCGATTTTTCCGTGCTTTTTATGTTCCCTTCCTCACCGAGCGACACTGCACGTACATTAATTACACTCTGATGAAATCCACCAAATGGAAACCCAAAAGTAAATATGCTGGGCATTTATAGTAACAATAGCGGGATTAGTGTGTGTGTGTGCGTGTAATATGTATGAATGTAACATGTGTTTCTAAGAAGAAAAAAACTTTAAAAACTGTCGGTTACCTGGCTATTATTCCAGCACTGGTGAAGCAGAGGACTTGGGCCAACTGTGATTAGTGCAAAAGTAATTTAAACCAGCTTTGTATATTGCAACTTGGTCTATTGTTGTCCACCTACGCATTTTTTTTTTTATATTCATTGGACTCCTAAGTTTGTAATATATTAACATTAAGGAATGTTTAATAAAAAGATTTATTATTTAACATGACTATTTTTGCTTTTGATGGAATGTTTATAAAGTGAGAATCTGTTTGCCTTATAAATGTCGCATGTTAATTCACATACAGTACTGTAATGTTCTTGCAAAAAAAAAATTGATGTGACTGCTACCATTCTTGAGATGATTATCTTGAGATGATTGTGTTTATACTGTGTGTAGATTTTCCATATTTGTAAATCTATTGGTTAAGAAAAGCTTAGTCTATTTGGCAAAAGAGATGGCATCACAAGTGTTATTCATCTTTAGTGTGCATTGATCATTGAAATTAAAAATTGTCCCCAATAGAACATTTTACTTGCGCTGAAGTACCTGTAGCTAGGCAGTCGAACATTCCGTTTGAACCACCAGTATTGTTTAATATGCATGATGGGAGATTACCAGTGTTGGGGTGGGAGTGTGCATGCTGGTGATTGTCCAACTACCACTTTCATTGGTCATCATAGAAGGGTTTGGTTGGTCATCGAGCAGATTCTATCTAGAAAGGAAATGCTAATTTTTTTTTGTGTGTGTGTGTGTGTGTGTGTGTGTGTGTGTGTGTGTGTGTGTATTCAGGCACAGGCTCATTCATACACACTTTCATTCATACATGTACTAAATTTATTGATATTTAAATCACGGGTGTAAAAATGCATGCTTACTCTTTCATTATCTTCATCTCCCTCTTCCTCTCTCTCCCCCTCTTCCTCCTCTTCCCTCTCTCCCATCTTCCTCCTTCTTTTCCCTCTTCCTCCTCATTTTCCCTCTTCTTTTCCTTCTTTCCCACTTTCTCCTTCCACATATCCCCTTCCGAGTTCTCTCTCTCCCCCCTTCCATTTTCCCCTTTCCACTCTCCCCTTCCAAGTCCCCTTTCCAACTCTCCCCTTCCAAGTCCCCTTTCCAACTCTCCCCTTCCGTGTCCCCTTTTCATCTTCCATATCCCTTTTCCCATATCTCCTTATCCTTTTTTATCCCCTATTTATCCTCCTGGCATCTCTATCTCCCATAGCATTTTCTCCCTCCATTCTTTCTGCATTTTTCTTTTCTCCATTTCACCTGCACCATCAGTCACAATCTCTGTTGTTTCTGTTAGGTAGTAAGTTTTCGGGTAAACAGCTGCTTCTCTGACCAAGAAGCTTTGTATGGTTAATTATGATTGGACAATATTTTGAAAGAAATCATCATTTACTTTTCATGTAATCATTTCTTTAAAGATGAAAATACCAGTTAATAATGAAGAGAATTTTTCAGTATTTTTTTATTAACCATTCAAATGCCATTGTAATATTTACAATAATACAAGTACTGTACTAGTAATTATTACATATTTGTATAAATTAAGGAACTTGGTTTGTAAGGTTTTGTAAAATAAATTTGATGAATCAAATGTATTTTTATGAGCCAAGTTGCTGGAAAAGTACAAACAATTACAGGAATATACGTAAAATGTACACTAAATAGTAGTGTAAAGAGAGGAGATAAAAAATGTGGTGGATACCTGTAATGTGGTACTAGAACTAGGTAAATGCAAATTGTTCACATTGTTTAGCAGCGACCTCCAAAGACAACACGCACTGCTGCACTGCCATACCATGAAGCGGTTATGGCTGAGAAAAGGAATGCATGAACTCAACAATCAGGAAGGTTAAGAAAAAAAACCCAGGTACAATACTGTATTAAAATTCAAAGCAGAAGACACTGGAGAGAGGAAGAAATATTGTATTGAAGGGGGAAAAGCATGAAATTGTGGTACAGTATAAAAAAACCTTTAGTAGACTGTGTAAAGTGGTGGGCCCAACTCAAATTTCTCCTTGGTTACTACATGAGTTAGCAGGAACAGTGTGCATGCCACTGTCAGGAATATACAACTAATTTTGAAATGGGAGAATAAGAAATATGGTAAAGGGCAAAAAGAAACGACTAGTAGTTTCAGGAGACATTGGGGGAATTAAATTGAAAACCAAAGGTCAATATGGTTCATGGAAGAAAATTCATGTTTGTGACCAAAATTAGATAAAAGAGCACTGAATATTTTGAAGGCTCTAAAACCTAAACCCTATTTTCTATCAGTAGAGCTGGGTGTACTGCATCTTCCTCGACAGTTGGCAGGTCTTTATTACCATCTCTCACAAAGCCAGAGTATTTGGAATTAAAGCAGGCCCTGATGTGTATAGAGGAGGCAACCTTAAAGAAGGTCGGCAGTCTTTGGGAGTGGAAAAACTATAGGTAACCTGACATTGGAATATATTGTAGGTAAATATTTAACTATATTTAAAAATAGCCTACTTAAGTCTTAGAAACCTAATACTGTATGTCTGTAAATCCCAGAAGTTGAATAATGATGATGATAAATGGATGCACACGAGATTAAAGTATGTTACTGGAAATGTGAATGGTACGTAAAAGCAAATAAAATTGTGAAATTATCTAAAAATTACTATAAAAATGGCTAGATATTAAAAAAAGATAGCAAAAATTATTTAAGTTTTGTATGCTCTAGAACTCCCTATCCAAAAAGGGGAGGTATTTATTAACTTTTTTCCATGGTAAACTGTATGGAATGCTCTAGGCTATTGAGACCCCTCTTAAGTACCTATCTAGACTCAAAATCTTTGTCAAATACAGCGCAAATATCATCAACATACCTGAACTAGGCTCTGGGACCTTTCCCATCAATTATTACTGTGGGTGCTAATTGTTTCAAAAACTCTACATATAAATTTGCAAGAATAGGAGAAAGGAACGAACCCATAGCCACCCTGAACTTTTGTTTATAAACCACCTCATTAAAACTAACGGGTCTTCCACACAAATATTAATTAGCTAGGGATTGGAGTAATTGTTAAGGAAAAAGTAATTATTAAAGCCCGTGCTACATGAACATTTTGTTCTGAGTAGCTGTAATTGACAGTTTAGCTAAAGACAAACTAAATAACACGAGTGGAACAGAAACAAGGGGACACAGGTGGAAACTGAGTACCCAAATGAACCACAAAGACATTAATAAAAATTATTTCAGTTTTAGAGTAGTCAAGAAACGGAGTGTATCGGGCAGTGATGTGATGGAGGCAGACACCATACTCAATTTTAAATGTAGATATAGAGCCCAAGAGGCTCTGGAATCTGTGCCCCAGTTGAGTGACAGTTAAGAGGCTCAAGAGACAAGTACGTTACAATTTGATTGTAAGCTATTTAAAGCTTAGTAGAGCGGTATCGATTATTAATCTGCGTTCTACGATGTTTTCAAGAACTTTCACCCAAAGGGGCAATAAAGTATCGAATTGCCAGTTTAAAATTCACACGGAAACACCGCAAGAACAATGGGGGACCTTTGACAAACCACCGGCTTTCTGTCCATCTTGAGGCCACTCGAGATGGTGGCTCTCGAGTAAATTCAGGTAATTCTCCAATCCCCTCATTTTCCCCTCCGCCTCGCACTGTATTCGCCTCACTCCGTCATTGCCCGGGTTCCCTCTGGTGTTACCGTCCACCAGGCAGCCATGGAGGGGCTTCACACAGGTGCAATATATGATTTACCTGACGGCCACTGTCTCTGTTGGCCGTGGCAGCCACAGCTCTAGCAACCCGCTGGCTTGTGGAAGGTCCTCCATTATTCTTGACAGCTGTTATCAATGTGTATTTTGATCTGTAGCGTGATGCTGGTATTGGCGGTGTATTCACCTAGTTGTGCTTGCGGGGGTTGAGCTTTGCTCTTTCGGCTCGCCTCTCAACTGTCAATTAACAGTTACTAACTACTATTTTTTTCCTCCATACCACACACACAGACACCCCAGGAAGCAGCCCGTGACAGCTGACTAACTCCCAAGTACCTATTTACTGCTTGGTAACAGGTGCATTAGGGTGAAAGAAACTCTGCCCATTGTTTCTCACAGGCGCCCGGAATCGAACCCGGGACCACAGGATCACGCGTCCAGCGTGCTGCCCACTCAGCCACCGGTTTGTTTGTATGTTTGCTTGTGAGTGTGTAATTCGCTAAGTGTAGTTACAGGATGTGGCGACCCTAATTGTGGTGTCCCGTCTTCCCAGTACTCTTTGTCATGTGAAGCTTTGAAACTACTGATCGGTTTAGGCTTCCACCACATTCTCACTTGTTCCATTTTACAAAAGTGAACTTTCTAACGTTTTTTTACATTAGAAAATGTGTGTGTGTGTGTGTGTGTGCGTGCATACACACACACACATATGTTATGTGCGTCATAGAGAACAAGCAGCCACTGGTCGCGTCCCAGGAAGTGTCACCTGGCGTATCACAGGTGTCACACTTGACGCGCCTTGGCCATGACAGCTGTTTGACGCGCGGTCTCCTGTCATGTCACGGGGCGGGGGGTCAAGGCCGAGGACACCCTCGCTAAAAGTATAGAGCGGGAAATATACCTTAAATTACATTATTAATTACGAACTTAAATCAATTTAAAACATTTATATAATATATATATATATATATATATATATATATATATATATATATATATATATATATATATATATAATATATATGAATATGAAAACTCACACCCCAGAAGTGACTCGAACCCATACTCCCAGAAGCAACGCAACTGGTAACTACAGGGCGCCTTAATCCGCTTGACCATCACGGCCGTCAAAAGGAAGTGATAGCCGAGGCTATTTGAGCCACTTCCCCGACGGCAACTCGGATGGTAATCTTGGGCATAGCATTTCATCAAATCACCTCATTCTTTGGGGCACACGTGAGGAACACAAATGCGAACAAGCCTGAATGGTCCCCATTCTGTTGTTACCAGTTACCAGTTGCGTTGCTTCTGGGAGTATGGGTTCGAGTCACTTCTGGGGTGTGAGTTTTCATTCGCATATAGTCCTGGGGACCATTCAGATATATATATATATATATATATATATATATATATATATATATATATATATAGGTAAATAGAGTTTATATGCGCAAACACTCGAAACAAAAAATGTACGCAGTTTTTTTCTGGAGAATGTTTGGCAGGAAAAATCATAAATGGAGGCAGTTTTTTTGAGTGTGTTTGGTGGGAAAAGCATAACTGATGGAGGGAAAGTCAGTAAGTGAAGGTCAAAATGGTGTCCGGGAGGCAGAACTTTATAGCTCACAGGCTACCCATTGATCTCTAACGCGGCCACTTCGATTTATTGGGTGTTCTGATCTGGAAAAAAAAAAAATAAAACTTTAAGAATTTTGCAGGAATACAATTCGTCTAGGTGAAATTGATTGATTTGATGTAGTTATTATGTACCCTATTGTTATTATGTACCCTATGTAGGAAGCTGTACCCTACAAGATGGAATTCTCAAAACTGAAGAATGACAGGAACAATGAGTGGGAACCCAATTTTCTGGTAATGATAAACTAGTTACAACATTTGTTTAAACACATCAACAGAGTGTGTAGGTTTACACAATGTGTAAGTCTTGCTGTGTGAGCAACAATAAATAATCCACTGTTAATGAATTTGCCACAATTATTAAAATAAGAATACTTGAGTGGATGCTGGAGGCGGACGTTGTTACACAGGCAAGTCGACCCCTCCCACCAATAGTCACTATATTGTTTCTTTAACTGTCATGGTCACAAGGCTGGGAACTATTTATAATTACAATTTAAATTGTAAATTACAGTTATAAATTATTTATAATTCATAATTAATATCTGAATGATAACAAATACAACTCAGGCAGTGTTCACTAGGAATGTCAGGTAAAATTTTAGGATTTTAACAATTTTAAATATTTATTGAACATTTATAATACTGAAGCCTCGTATATATTTTCTTCATTTTCAAGCAGACGTGAGAGAATAATTTTGCTAACCTAGATTGGTATAGCAGGGACCTTTGACAAGCTACCGGCTTCCTGTCCCGTCGACGCCACTTTAGAGGATGTGGCCCTCATGTAAGTTTGGTCACATTTATAAGTTCAATGTCAAGCATGTTTATTGAGACAAGAAAAAATTACATCTCAAAGAAATAGAGTAGTTTAGGCTATTTTTACCCCCCCCCCCAAGTTTATATTATAACAAAAGACTTAAACAAAAACTATAGATTTAAAAAAATAAAACTATAAAGTATAAAACTAAAATAAAAATAGGTAAACAAAACTATAAAACTATAGGCCTATCAGCGGGTTGTGTAAACTTAATTAAGAGACACTTGCAGACTAGCCTAGTCCAGCGGTAAAGGAAGTGTATATAAAATACGTAAGTCAAATTAGTCTCTCACATCCCTGACCGTCGGTATTGTACCTTCTTGTCCGTAAATAAATGAAAGGTGTGAACCTTCCATTTACCATATTTTCATTTATGGCATTAGTACACTATAGCCCTATGGGATATAATTCATATCTTGAATATATATATATATATATTCAAGATATGGCAACTATTGGAGCAAGTATATAAGAGGTTAGTGTGTGTGTGGGTGTCAGTGTGTAAAGGTTGCGTGTTGTGGAGAGTTAGGCTCGCTGGCTGCTTGCTCACCTACGCTCCAGGTAGTGCTTTAATATTTTGACACATAAGGGATATATACTCCGAGAGTTGTACCGCATTTTTCGGTGTATTTAGGGCTACTTGGACTCTAGTGGCCGCGACGAGGACAGAAAACTGGCGGCTTGTCAATTGTCCCCTCATTTTTCCAGTTGGATTTTAAAATTTAGCAGAGTTTTGGCATTAACGGCTTCGACGGGTAGGCGGTTCCGTGGGTTTGGAACCCTGTGGATGAACAAGTATCTTATATATACAGTCCTGCATTGTGGCTTGCTCTTTTGTGTTTAATATACGGTATATATACATATAATATCTTAGTATATACACTAAGAGTTGACTTTAATCCTGGCCTATGCTCAGGATTAAAGTTTGATCATTAGGCTAGTGTTATAGGGTCTTAATAGCAGCCCTCGTGCCGATGATAAGCAGTAAGCCTAACACCAAACCAAAACGGCTAGACAGGTTGATTAACATCTTAGACACAATTTGAAATGTTTGAACAAGCCCAGCACTGTAGCATGAGTTGTTTACATAATTGACAGGTTTTGCAAAACTGTTTGCGTTTTGGCCTTCTGGAGGCGGCCGTCTCAATAACCTCTTCTATATCCGTGAATCTCTTATGACGTCCGTAGCGGACTGATCTGTCATGACGTCCTCAGTAGACTGATGTCATGACGTCCTTAGTGGACTGATCTGTCATAACGTCCTCAGTGAACTAAACTGTCATGACGTCCTCAGTAGACAGATGTCATAACGTCCTCAGTAGAAAGATGTCATGACGGCCTCAGTAGAAAGATGTGTCATGACGTCCTCAGTAGACTGATGTCATGACGTCCTCAGTAGACTGATCTGCCATGGCGTCCTTAGTAGGCTGTCCTGCCACGTCTTTTTATTCCTATTTTCTACTAATAAATGCAGGCTTGACCAAACATAAACAGTGCTACCCATCATGTACACATTTCATTTCTTCTACATTGACAGGGTTACACATCTGTTCCACTACATATAATGTAGTAGGTTATTTAGCACATGTTTTTTTACAATAGCAAATTACACACTTTCTGTTTGGTGTCTAAAGGTCATGATTCTGGCGGCGGAAAGTCGTGTGGTCCAGCTGATGAGCGGAGCGAGGACCATTGCCTCCCAGACGATGCTGTCGCCGATAATGTTGTTTCTGCTGCTCCAGCTGCCATCCACCAGGTCCCTGCTTCCCTCCGCCAGGTTCCAGCTGCCCTTCGCCAGGTCCCAGCTGCACTCCATTACGCCCCTGCTGCCCTCCGCCAGGTCCCAGTTGCCCTCCGACAGGTCCCTGCTGCCCTCCGACAGGTCCCTGCTGCCCTCCGCAAGGTCGCTGGTGAGTAGTCCAGATCACTCCGCTGGTCCGTAGTAATTTTAACAAGACCTGAGAGTGGTTTTTGCTGCGTCCTCGGGGTGTTTGGTGCGGAACTGTGCCTGTCAGGGACTGACGGGTGGGAGTACGTTCACGGGAAGAGAGAAATGTACTGAAGGACGGATGCGTGGGAAAACAAAAATAAAGAGAGAGAAAGAGGAAGAGGGGGGGGGGGAAAGGTGGGGAGAGACAGCGGATGGATAGCCCAGCTGGAAGAGATGAGTGATACCTCATGTTGTATTCACCGGAAAACAATATTATAGCAAATACGTATCAATTAATTAAACTAATTTTTTAATTAGTATGAAATTAGGTAATTATAAAAAGGCGCCAAAACAGGAATATTATGTTGCAAATAAAATCAGTAAAATCAACATAGAGTAATTATAACCCCAGTCTTAGACTTTTAGACTTAAGAGTAGGGTGCAGGTGGCCACGAGGCTTATGGAATGAGACACCCTTACTGACCGGGATTACCGTTAACCCTACTCTCTTTACTACCTGTGTCTAGACCGTTACGACGCAGCGCCTTCGCCAGGAGGAGCGGCAGGCGTCGCCGCTGGGGCAGCTGCGGCTGGTAGGAGGTGGAGGACCCAGCGAGGGAAACGTCCAAGTGAGTGTTGTGTCTGCCCGTCCCCCTTGGTCTCTCTAAAACTCTTAAGTCCAGCTGCCCTTCGCATGGGTCTAGAGTCACCTGTGTGCTCTGACATGGCCAGGCTTCAGCTCCTCAGCCCCCCTCCTTTCTGTTGATAGTCGCCTGCTGCAATGGCTTCCGACTCTCTTGGTTCTTATAAATACTCTTTAAATAAATTGTGTATGGTGTTAGACTGAGCAACCTCCCCCTTTCACTTGCTGACTACTCTTTCAGTGAAGACGTGCTTTCTCATATCCCCCTTCCATCTCATATTCTCATATTCCCCTTGGCTCATCTGAGTTTCCAGTTCCCACCCGTTCCCATCTTGCCCCTGTCATGCTAAACTACTAGATTCTGTCCACTTTGTCAATGCCTCAAAGAATCTTATATGTCGTAATCATGCCGTCTCCAAAACGTTGACAAAATATGTCCATTCTAAGTGTTCCACAAGCCTCCTGACTGGCTCTCTTAGGTTGAGGTGGACGGCGTCTGGGGGTTCGTGTGCGACGACGGCTTTGGCTTCGTGGAGGCTGATCTCGTGTGCCGCGAGCTCGGGTTCAAACGTGCCGAGACGTTTACCAGGAATAACCATTTTGACGACAACACTCCAGGTTTGTTTACTATACACTGTAATGAGAACACTAACATATAACAATAATAATAATAATAGGGACCGTCACATCGGGACACCATTAACATGTGCTCTGTGCCGCAATTAAATATCGTAATACAGCGGTTATTGGCACCATTAAGTATATTTCGGCATCATTAAATAAGATGAGGCACCATTAAACTCCATTTGGCATGATTAAATATGAGGTGTTACCATTCCAGAGCGACGGCGCAGCAATGTCAAGTTTTGGGTGGCGGGCCTGCAGTGTGCAGGGGTGGAGCTCCGCCTCGCTAACGCCACCATACGCGACTGTCCTGCCTCCAACATCGGAGGAGGTGGTGAGGACGGCATCTGTGGCCCTACTGAGGTGTGTGTGTGTTGGGGTACACCTTTACATACATGTGCACACACGTACACGCCCTCACACAATCCTGAGAGGTATGGGCTAAGAGGAAAGGCTAAGGGCGCTGAACCTCATATCCCTGGAAAACAAGAGTAAGGGGAGACATGATAACCACCTACAAAATTCTCAGGGGAATTGACAGGGTGGACAAAGACAAACTCTTTAGCACGGGTGGAACACGAACACGGGGACACAGGTGAAAACTTAGTACCCAAATGAGCCACAGATACATTAGAAAGAGTTCTTCAGTTGTAGTTAGCAAATGGAATGCATTTGGCAGTGATCTGTACACCAGTTGATTGACAGTTGAGAGGCGGAACCAAAGAGCCAGAGCTCAACCCCGCAAGCACAACTAGGTGAGTACACACACAGCGAGTTTCTTATATGTGAGAAGAAACATCCGATCCTGCTCTCAAATAATGTCTTTTTTGTTTAACAAGCTTAGGCATACACAGCAATGTGCTGCTACCTTATTCTGTATGAAAGACCACACATTGTAGATCAAAAACCAGCTACATGCTCATCCAACACCTGACACCCAAAGGAGGACGAACCCACAAAGAAAATTGTGAATACTGAAATGGTAAGAGCGAGAATAAATAGTAATAAGAACTTTATGCTGACTGGGAAGAGGTAACGTGAATGAAAGAATAGTACCGAAGGTATTGAAGGTGGATGAAGAACTAAAGAACATAAGAGAGTTTAGTTTAGTTCATTTATTATACACCCCATATCCATCTTGTGGGCGGTAGTGGAAAGGGTTACAGAGGCACATAATGGGCTCAGGGACTGAACCCCACAATTTCTATAGCTAAGCAAGTTACAATCTTGATGAGCTGGTTACAAAATTCAATGCACATTGTCACATGGGAGCAACTTTCGAGGGTGAAGAGACGAGACCTGATATAGATTTAGTCTCATAAAATAACATTTAATTCCTTGTTCCCCTTTAATAGTAACACCTTAACACTATAGCACTTAGCACCTAACACTAATAGTAACATCTTCACTAAGGTGTTATAGTGTAGGTGGCACTGAACACAGCCTCATCCCAGAATGTTGTCGATGAGGCTATGCAGAAGGAAAGCACAGGCGTCTTGAAAGTACCATGAAAATTAAAGAGTATATGAATGCAGAGAAGGGAATTGCCCGATCAAATTTTGCTCCCGTGACTGCTCACGCCTGATTGGCTAAGAGTCACATAACTATCATATCTGCATCTAAAAAAAGTTCGTGGAGCCGTCACTTTTGTCACGCATAGCCTAAGAAAGAAAATATGAAACACAGGCGCAAGAGGCTTCGTTACACAGGCCGGCAGGTAAGTGGGCGTGGCAGTTTCCAGGTATGTGAGTGCGGTGTTTATCAGACTCGGTATGTAAGACGTGACTTAAAAAGTGATGTGTGGGTGTGGCAGGTAGCGGGCGTGATATGTGGGCGTGGCGGCGAGAGGAGGCGGTGCGGGCCCAGCCATTTCCCTTGTGTGGGTTCCTCATCCGCTGTGTGTGTCCCGAGGACCCAAGTGTGTGACGGCCGCCCGGACTGTCCGGACCACAGGTGAGTCCTCCTTCTACACCCATTTATATTTGTCTTCTTAGACTACCTCCTATCTCTCCCCCACCTCTCTTCTCCCTAGCTCTGTACCCCACCTATTATCATTCTGGCTTCCTTCAATCTTTATCACCTTCGACATTCACCCATACTGTTATAAGTCAGGTGGAAGCAGCATATACAACAAACGTGTAAAATGTTTATTATTTGTATGGTTTCAATCTTTGTGTAACTGTTGTAGCGACGAGGCTCCAGAGTTGTGTGAGGACGTGGGCGTGGCCAGGCTGGCTGACGAGATCCCCTTCAATGTGCCAGAAGCGGCCGTGGGCACAGTGTACGTCAAGCACCAGCAGGAGTGGCGACCTGTCTGTGATCAGTTTCTCACCTTAGGCGATGCCAAGGTAAGACCAGAGGGCACCGTCGACCCAAAGTTAAGGTATTGAGCTATCTCCATTCCATAATGTTTTTCTTAATCTAACCTACAGGAGCGTGAATATTTGATATCTAGTTACTCTCTTACTGTCACCCTTAGTACTGTTATACCTTCATTGTAAAACAAATTAATGAAAAACATGCTGTATCTACCGCCAGGTGTTGTGCAGGAATATGGGCTATGCTTCGGGTTGGTCGTTGCCGCTCTACACACCGTATAGTTACTACAGGCCCTCAGAGTTCGCAGCCAAGAAGAGCAACCTGACGACGGCGTGGAGGAGAACGCCTGAGTGCAGCGGTGACGAGGAGTGGGTAGGACAGTGTCCCAGCATCTCCTGGGGCAGTGCCGACTGTATACCCTTCCAGTTCGCGGGCCTCTTCTGCTACGATGGGGTTGGTATTGATACCCGTTCGGCTTCACAGCCTTACCTACGCTATGCTTTATTGTCTAATAACATGCTCGTTGTACGATATTAATATATTGTGCACTCGAAATAATTTGTACCATATGGCATGCACGATGATGCGAGGCTCATAGTTAGCAACACCTGTGTTAACACTATTGTACCGTGTACCGTTCAGGGTGTGAAGGTACGGCTGGCAGGGAGTCAAGCTGAAAACGAAGGCAGGGTCGAGGTGCAGTTGGGAGGCGTTTGGGGCACTCTTTGTGACGACTTTTTTGATGATTTCGACGCCCAGGTAAGCTTTGGGACCCACGTGAGCCCTGACACTAAGGATAACCTTCGTGCCTTCTCAGATTGTCAGGAAAGAGTCGTACATATCTTCTGATTATGTAATTAGCTTTCCTTTTGAGGTTCTTTGCTCAGTACTGCGCGCGTGTGTTTATGCTCACCTGTTTGTGATCTAGCTTGATCTGTTGTTGCTGTTTTAGATTCAGCTACTCGGAACTAAATTTCCAGTAGCACGGGCTATAGTGAGCCCGTAATTCAGTTCTGTTATTCACGATAACCTTGTTACTGTGATATCTGGGTCAAAGTTTAAATGAAGGTAGGGTTTCCTTCTTTTCGCACTGATTTTAGTCTTTTGTTTTAATAACGTTATCTTGGTGGTGGATATGGCTGCAGAATGTTCACTAGTGTGTCCTATTCTTCATCTACTCTTTTTAACCTTTGTAGTCGCTGTGGATTTTGCATTTAATGCACCTGCTCTTGTTGATTGAATGTCGAGTTTGATGCGCAGAGCTTCAGTTGCTTCACATTCCAGTAGGTAATGTAATAGCGGCGCCTCGGCATCTGTTCCACAAATATGACACTCTTTAACTAGTGGGTTTGTTACCTCCCAGCAGCACTTGTAACCAAGTCTGAGTCTGTGTATAGCTACTGCAATGTCTCTGGATATCTTTTTTCCAGGCTTGATAGAACAGTACCCAGTGGCTTGTTCATACCACATCGCAGTGAATCTTCCTTATGCTACTTTGGTTCTGTGACTACTTTTGATAGTTGGGAGTATTTTCTTCTTGATCTGCTCCTTAATCTGTGAGAAACTTGAAGGTATTTTTACCTGTACTGTACAACAGGTAGAGTAGTGGCAGTTTTTGCTAGTGAGTCTGCCTTTTCATTACCATCTATGCCAATGTGACTTGGTATCCAATTTAGGGTGATTGGCAGTCCTAGATTGTGTTTCTTTTCCTATATGTAGGATATCTGTGATGAGTTTTATATTATCTCTGTGCTAGCTTGACCTCTTGGACCCTGGCTTTATAACCGCGAGTTATCTGACGCAATAACTCTTGAACTATTTCCCTACAATATCTAGTTTTTAAAATCATTAATGGAGTTTGCTTTTACATCTTGCTTATTAGGTTCATTCCATTTTCTATTAATCTTACGCTAAAAGGAAACTGAAACATTTCTATGGACTATCTGTTTCTGAAGCTTCCATTCATGCTTTCATGCTCTATTAGTATTCATTGTGAATATATCGTCTTTATCCTCTCTGTGTCTATCCCCTAAGTATTTTATAAATTTCAATCATGTCTCCGCTTTTCAATCGACATTAGATCTAGCTCTTTCAATTCCCCCCCCCCCTTCTTTTTAGATGGGGCTTGTTACTGTCTCTTAGTTTCCTCTTAAAGTCCTAATGGCCCCCAATTCAGTCTAAATGGTGAATAAAATTACAGGAAAGCTTAAGGTTTGTACAACTTTAGTGCACAAGGTCCAGCAGCTCCTCGCCGGGCTGCTGGACCTTTGATGTTTATTATTTTAATAGAAATTACAACTGTATGATGAGAAAAATGTATGATCTTTGCCTTAACTTTACCCACTCACCTGTCATTTCACCTCACCTCTGGCCTCGTAATGAGCTGTTGACCAAACCACACACTGTCCCTGGAACCAAACCACACACTGTCCCTGGAACCAAACCACACACTGTCCCTGGAACCAAACCACACACTCCAGGTAACTGGAGCCTGCCTCACCAGGTGGTGTGTCGGGTGCTGGGATACGAAGGTGAGGCCAAGGCCCACCAGAGGGCAGGGAAAGCCCCGGGACCCACCTGGCAGCTCGCTCTCGACTGTCTGGGATCCGAGAGCGACCTTCGGGAGTGCCGGATCAAGATTCTCCCTAAACCATGCCCAGCGACCAGGACTGCAGGGGTCACGTGCTCTCGCAGGTCAGTGTCTTCACTTGAACCCCTTGTACTCGCTAGCATCCAAAACCTCTACTGGCATTACAGTTACGACGTCACACACCTTATGCACGCCGTATATAATCCTCAACCTTTTATCTTGTTTGCGTTAGGTTAGGTCGTTTAGGATAGGTTGGGTTGGGTTAAGATAGGTTAGGTTTGTTTAAAGAGTAGCGGTGACGTAGAGGGCCCATATTTTTCTCAGGTGTCAATGATAACGGAATGAATGATTACTTTACCACAGTCGGAAATGCAGACTTTATGCTTAGCGGGAATTTTACAATGTCTTTAGATGTAACGAGTATTAATTTGCATTTTATTGATATATTTAGGTACATCTACATTTATGCAGCTACACTAGACTATGTGAAGGGTTACATTGTGTTATGCTAAAATCCTTATTTCGCAGGGCGGTTAGCTGTAATGGGGCTAACCAGTAGCTTTCACTGGCTATCTCCGAATACATTATGAGTATATCCTCAAGAGCACGGGAGGGACTAGAGTAGTTGCTAAGCTCTCTAGGTGCTTCATGTCAGTAGGTCTGAAGGGGTATAATGGCTAGGCATTCAATAATGTAGCATATGAAATCCTGATCCAATTCCTGGTCAGAGCATGCACGTGGAGTCTTCAGAATGAGGCTATTTTGTCACCTGCCATAGGTAACGGTAACCCAACCTGATCCTGGCAATTAATATATCACAGTCTAGTGGATACTGTATGCTGCCCATATATATATAGATGTCAGATCTAAAGAAAAATCATAGATTTTCTATACTATTATTGAGACATCAGGCGCGGGGAGGTGGACGCTAGGCTGCAAGCAGTGCTGCCGGAGGACTGCGGGCGCCCCGACGATGCCTCGGCTCATTTCCTGCTACGGCTGGCCAAGGTCCGGGGAGGCGTCGTGCCCTCTCGCCTGGACGCCCCCTGGCTGGCCACACTTCGTACCACCTCGGTAACTAATCATTCCTGCCCCTCCGCGGTAGATGCATGGGCGAACGTCTAGCATTTAATGGGGTTTAAAATTAATTTATATTGTACATGATAAAAATATATTTTCTTCGTCTCTATGAAACCACAATGACTTTAAAGGACTCTTAGTAACCTCCCACGACGGCAGATACAATATATAATACAATCCGGATAGGTTTGGCAGAGAGACAGTCAGCTGAAATATTCAGAGATGATATTATATCTAAAAATACACTTCATAACTTGTGACTGTACCCGGGTGATTGTATCACTGCAGAAAGGCCGCCACCTCTCCTGCGGGGCCGTCATCATCTCTGAGGACTACCTGCTGACAGCCGGTCACTGCTTCACCGAAGTTGGTCCACTCAACTTGCTCGTCCGGGTGGGAGACCACAACTCCAACTACTATGAACATTCAGAGGAGGTAAACTAAACATATTTTGTTTTCTCTTGAACATCAAGTGAACAAACAAGCAATTGGGCGATTAAATATATGAATTGGAATCAATTTCAATAGGCTCACGTTTATAAAATGCGGCATGTGATCACCAAACCCGCATATTCAGCATGATAAATTACCTCGATTACTCCTTTGCCACTGATGGTGATGTTTTTCACCATCAGTGGCACGTTTTGTGGTTTTCTATAAAAAACGTATCAGATTTACTTTAAATAAAAAAACTCTAAAGATGTAAATTAAATAATTACATCATTACATCAAATATACATCATTACACACAGAGATCACACTAACGTGATGCATCAAATGAACAAATCCACAAGGGCCGTGACGAGGATGCAAGGGCGAAGAGGGAGACCGGCCTATTGACATAGCTCGGGTGCAGGGGGAAGTTGTGTAAAACCCTGGTTTGTGCCTCGGAGAGGCTACGGGATCCAGTAAGTTCAGTAGAACTCCGGTTTCAACTCTTTTTACCCTGTCGTAGCTCAGTCGATTGAGGCAGTGTCTGGGATGCTCCTAGACGCAGGTTCGAATCCTTGTCATGGCCCTTGTGGATTTGTTCATTTGATGCATCACGTTAGTGTGATCTCTGTGTGTAACAAAGTTACATTGCTATTGTCGTTACAGCTTTATATGACAGCTCTACGTGGAAGCTTTTCACACACAACTAAGATTTCTTCTATTATTATTACTATTTATATTTCACGATACATATGAAAGTGGTTATTAAAACAGACTCAATAAAATCTTATATTTATTCCTTTAATATAACAGGTACAAGGGACTTAAAGTAGGTTAATATTACATAATTTTCAGGAAGTTTTCACAAAAAGACATAGATAGATATCACATTTGAATCATGTGATATAGATGGGTATCACGGAAATCACATTTGTAGGCAGAATATATTGATTGGTTGAGAACACAAAATTGGTTTATATGTCTACAACAGTTTATGATATACCAGAAGACAATGTACCTCCAATCATCGGACTTTTATATATGGTTCTATATATACTTAGATAATGTGGACTAGGAAGTGGACTAAAGTGCCACTCATGGCACCTTAGTCCACTTCCTCGATGGTTGGTCCAGGTCGTGAGCCTCTGGTGGTGTTGGGTCCCGCAGATTCCTGGCCCGCCATCCCTGGTCCATGGATCTTGGCTGCCAAGGGTCGCCACACATCCTCCACCTTCTTGAGATGGTACTCATACTCGTCCTTCTCTGCCAGCTGGTTATCGTCTACCCACTTGAGGGTTTCGTCCACCTGGTTGGTGATGCGCTGCCGCTCCTCTTCAGACAGTTTGTTGGAGACGCCCTCCTCCCTAAGGCTGCTCTTCAAACTCAAGCACAGTGACTCCAGACGATTCTTACTTTCAATTCTCTCTCTCTGGCGAGTGTCCTCCTCAGAATATTTCTCTGCGTCATGTACCATTCTGTCAATTTCTTCCTTGCTCAGACGACCCTTGTCGTTGGTGATGGTGATTTTGTTCACTTTACCTGTCGACTTGTCCACTGCAGACACATTCAGGATCCCATTGGCGTCAATGTCAAAGGTGACTTCAATTTGGGGAACGCCCCGAGGTGCCGGAGGGATACCATTCAGGTCAAACTTACCCAGTAGATTGTTGTCTTTGGTCATAGTGCGTTCACCCTCGAATACCTGGATAGTGACCGCTGGTTGGTTATCTGAATATGTGGAGAAGATCTGTGAATGTTTCGTGGGAATGGTGGTGTTGCGTTTAATTAGAGAAGTCATGACTCCTCCAGCTGTCTCAATGCCCAGAGACAGAGGTGCCACATCAAGGAGGAGCAGGTCCTTAACTCCCTCCGACTGGTCACCATGAAGGATGGCAGCCTGAACAGCCGCACCGTAGGCCACCGCCTCGTCAGGGTTGATGGATTTATTGAGGTCTTTGCCATTGAAGAAGTCTTGCAGCAACTTCTGCACTTTGGGGATGCGGGTAGATCCGCCCACCAGCACAATGTCGTGAATGCTGCTCTTATCAAGCTTGGCGTCCCGTAACGCCTTCTCCACCGGCACCAGAGTGCCACGGAAAAGGTCCGAACACAGTTCCTCGAACCTGGCTCGAGTGATGGACGTGTAGAAGTCGATACCATCAAACAGCGAGTCGATCTCTACAGTCGCCTGAGATGAAGAGGAGAGTGTGCGCTTGGCTCTTTCACATGCCGTCCTCAGACGTCGCAAAGCACGCTTGTTGCCACTGATGTCTTTCTTGTACTTCCTCTGAAACTCTTGCACAAAGTGATTTACCATCCGGTTGTCAAAATCTTCTCCGCCTAGATGTGTGTCTCCCGCCGTTGATTTTACCTCAAATATGCCCTCATCGATGCTCAAGATGGACACGTCAAAGGTTCCGCCTCCAAGATCAAAGATGAGCACATTACGTTCCCTGCAATTTCCGGTGCCTACCTTTTTGTCGAGACCGTAGGCGATGGCTGCTGCAGTTGGCTCGTTGATGATGCGCAGAACATTGAGTCCAGCGATGGCACCAGCGTCCTTGGTGGCCTGGCGCTGAGAGTCATTGAAGTAGGCAGGTACTGTGATGACGGCGTCAATCACTTTCTTGCCCAGGAACGCCTCTGCTGTCTCCTTCATCTTGGTCAGAACCATAGACGAGATCTCTTCCGGGTTGAAGGTCTTGCTTTCTCCCTTGAAGCTGACGCGTATCTTGGGTTTGCCATTGTCGCTGACCACATCGAATGGCCAATGTTTCCTGTCAGTCATAACTGTAGGGTCGTCATACTTACGACCAATCAGTCGTTTAGCATCAAAGATTGTGTTGTTAGGGTTGAGAGCCGCCTGATTCTTGGCTGCGTCACCAATGAGTCGTTCTGTGTCAGTGAAGGCGACGTAAGAGGGCGTGGTCCTGTTGCCCTGGTCGTTAGCAATGATCTCCACCTTGCCCAGCTGGAACACGCCCACACAAGAGTAGGTCGTGCCCAGGTCAATACCGATAGCTGGAGATGACATGGTGACACTTGGCTGTAATAACTCTTTATCACAAACTATTTACCACCGATACTCCTTAAGATGAGCCTTTTCGCGGTAAAGTTTTACGTCTCGAGTGTGTTAACTGTTGTGTTGCGTGTCGGGATATGATGCTCCGGGAGAGGACTCGCCAGCTTATATCTGGCGGCGGCGGAGCTCCAGAGCTTTCTCGACTGCTCCTATACGTCGCGTGCTTTCTAGACTATAACAATAACACTTCATCCCAACTGAAAAGAAAGTAACAAGTTATTAGCATAAACAAATTTTTAGCTAAACTCTGTTAACCATTACTTTTTAGTCAAAGATAATATATATATTTGTAAATAAAGAGCGGGGAGTAGAGGCCAGTGGAAGTTTCTTGATTATTCTGATGTATATTTTACGTTTTCTTTGATTCTGAACTAACCCTTCAAAGAAAACCTTTACCTCCTAATACTTTACTGATAATGATTCTTTAATTGTAAATAAATTGTATTCGGATAATAAAGCTTAGAAAACTTTAACCAAACTTCGTAGACCGAAACACAGGGAAATATACTAAGCTAATATTAGTTATCGTAAAAGAAGAACCTCATATCTATAGTTAAATCGATACACTCAGCACATCCGCTTGGCTCCAGGTCTAATTGATGTATCTAATGTTCATAATGTCTACTGCTTGTTATAGATTCAGCTACTCGGAACAAGTTCCAAGTAGCACGGGCTATGGTGAGCCCGTAGTGGACTTACCTGGCACAGGAGCGGTGCTGTGTAATGTCTATTGATGATTCTTGTTTTTATTAACCATGATAGGTAGCCCTATAGAGCACAGCGCTACAACTTTAATCTCAACCTATACATGGGTACATAGTTTATGTCTAAAGCTACATATTCTGTATATGACGACAAAAATAATTTTAAACAATTTTCATTCAATTTACCATTTTCTGAGACGATTGTTGAGTGTAGCGTTTGTATACTTCCTTAGGCTATTGTGTAATTGTACGTGATTCCAATATGGTGTCTTCAACATCAACTATATTTTCATTTAAATTGACGCTTATTTCTAATATTTTTGGAGAGCAATGCTTTGCCTATTATTTGGCTACTCGACTAGAATATTCTAGTGTTTACAGACAATTACATAGGTGAGAGCGAGCGTGGTAAGATAGATAAGAACGATAACAGCCATAGCAACCAGAACTGGACGTGTTTGTGTAACACGAACCAACCAGTTGTTGTTGTTGTTGTTATAGATTCAGCTACTCGGAACAAGTTCCAAGTAGCACGGGCTATGGTGAGCCCGTAGTGGACTTACCTGGCACAGGAGCGGGGCTGTAACTGCTTCAGAACCAAACAGGAAACCATTACAACTATATAGCACTTGGAAGGGATCAAGATAAGGATTTGGGATAGGACGGGTGGGTGGCGGGTAAATGGTGCCTAACCACTTGAACGGTCGGGGGATTGAACGCTGAGCTGCATGAACTGAGACCGTCGCTCTACCGTCCAGCCTAAGTGGTTGGACCATTTACCGGGAGAATATATTGATTTCTCCAACTGAAACGCTAACCAAGCAATCATGCAGCATCTACACATCGGATATGGTTTAAAACAATAATAATATAGGATAAAAACCCACACTTGTGTATTTGTGAAATTTATGTTAGGAATTTACACCCAATTCCAAAAATTCACAAGTGTGTGGGTTTTTATCCAATGTTATGTCTGTGAGAAGTCATTACCATTACTAATAATAATACTAATTATTATTATTTTTTTACACAGTAATAAATATAATCCTCAGAGAAATCACACAAAGGTGATATATATATATATATATATATATATATATATATATATATATATATATATATATATATATATATATATATATATATATATATATATCTTAATGAGATAGATACATCACGTTATATATAAAAAGAGCTCTGAGATATATCTCAAGTTGATTTTCTCATTAATATAATAATAACTAAACGCTTCTAGATACATAATAATATAACAACAATGACCAGTGTGTACGGCCAACGCAGTCATCGGGTTTCCTCTCTATTTTCAGGATTTCTTCATCGAAAATGTTGTCGTACACGAAGACTTCAATCCAGTCTTGTTGGATAATGACATCGCTCTGTTGAAGATCCGTAGGAAAAGAGGAAGAGGGATAAGGTAATTACATTCTCGTAGCTGACTAGTTCTAATGATTAGTTGGCTGTCTAGCAGGTTTACTGTCTAGCTAGCTGTTTGACTATTTACCTGGCTCGTTGTCTCTGACTAACTACCTGTCTGTCTAGCAAGTTGAATGTCAAATTGCGTAACTGTCTTTTTGCTTCATTGGCTAGCTGTCTGGTTATTTAGTTGTCTGTGTGTCTATTCTGGCTAATTGATTATTTGGCTTGCGACAACTTGCCGCCAGACAGTATCTGCCTCTATCTCCTTCAGTAGCGTGCAATATTAATATTAGAGAAATGTTGTCTCACTCCATTACCCGTATTGCAATTATTTAAGAATGTCCATAACATTCTAAAGTAACATTCATAATCTCTTACTACGTTTCAGGAATCTTCGATCCATCTCTCCCGCCTCTATATCCATCAAATTTATATTTATTTATATTATGTATCTCGTGTTCGGTTTCCGTTATTTTTTAATCGATTCAACATTAGATTAAATTATATGAATATTTCCCTCCTTCAATTACCTATGGATATTTAATATACACCATCAGGTTCAGCGCGCAAGTGAAGCCTATCTGTCTACCTCAAACACAAGATTCCTACAATGACCTCCACTTCTGCACCGTGGCGGGCTGGGGACCGACTGTCCAAAATGGGCAGGTGCGTGTGTGTTGTAGATGCTCCCAGGGCCCGTCCAGTCAAACGTTTCAAAATAAAATGTTTTCTCTTAGGCAGGTGTGGATGGGAACTATGTGACCATTACAAGCAGATTAGCTCTCTTTCTCTAGGACGCTTAGATAACGATTTGTTTAGAACGTGCAAATGTTTGATCAGAACGTCCTCTTTAAAAGGACGGAATATATGAAAGTATTAAGAAAGGCACATAGATTAGAACTATGACCAGGTAGGGGAGACTAGATATACTTCGTCATGTCATGCATATGAGAACTATTTAACCACAAGAACTAGATAAAAAAAAACCTCTGGTCATAACAAGAAGA